CCCATCCCCACCAAAGCGCAAGTGCAATTCTCGCCTGTTGCCCCCGGATGCTCCAGGCCCCCCCCCCCCGCCAAAGGTCCTCAGCAGGGGAGCAAGCTGCATGTGTCCAAGGCAAAGAACCTTCTGTCCACCACACCACATGGCCGCTTTCAGACCTTGACAGCTTTGTTGCTGTGCACGGCTGCCTTGTTTGAATCCTCAAGCACTGCCTAAGAAGGAGAAGTGTTAAATCATGACAGGTTTGTGCAAGAACCCCGTGCACAATTCTTCGGAGCTGGGCCGAATGGCAAGGTCTGCATAAGGACGCGTGTAGTACAGTGCAGGTGGCAACATGATGTTCCATTTCTACCACGGTCAGGCAATTGGTTCACGGTTTCTACTTGCTGGAGGCACTGTGTTTGCTGCAAAGTCGTGCAGGGGCATTGGTTGCAGTGTATTTGCTGAGCTGCGCTGCCGAAGCTGCTGAAGGCAGTGGTTGTGTTATGTGGCTTGTGTGCGTGGGCCCAAGCGATGGCATTTGACGGCAAGCTGTTGCCCCAAAGCCGACCTTGGACCGAGGATGATGAGCTAATTGAAGCAGGTCTTCGTCAACCTTCAGGTCCTTGGCAAACCTCATGTGTGACAACTCAGAAAAGTCTTCTTGTTTTGTCAGATGATAGATTGGCTTCAAGTGTGCAGCATTGGCAGGGCATGCCGCAGAAGCCGAAAACATCTGGAGCTTGGCCTCTTTCACAGCATGTGCCCAGTGTTTTTTAGTGGGCCGTAGTTCATCATACTAATGCGGCCTAAGGTGCAGACTTTGTCGTCGACGGGCCACGGCCAGCTCCCAAGCCAAGGGGTCTCTGTGGTCTCTCACGTGTCTCTCACGTGGCCCCACAGGATATCGAACCCCGGTATCGAGAGATTGCAGAGGCGTGGATCAGCCTGCGCGACTTACTCCCCTCTTGACCTTGACGGAGGCAGGAGCTGTCCCAGCTTGGGAAAATGGAAAACCTGGCTCTCACTCTCTCTGAGAAGAGTACACCAGCAACCTCCTAATTACCAGAGAGCGTGACGGTTGCGCCGCGCTGCGCCTGCAGACGGCCAAAGTGCTGAAACTTGCCTGAATCTCGGTTCGCTCACAGCCAATTTCCACTCCACTCATGCCTCTGACCGGAGTGCCGAGGCCCTGAATCCTTTCCTTTTCAAGGTCCGCATGTTGCCGGATGCTCAGCCTGGAGGCTCTGTGCCGATGGCATCGGGCACAAGCTGCAGCTGGCTCAAGCTCCGGTGCATTGGTCTTTCTTAAGATTTCCGAAGACGCGTGGTGCTATGTCCAGCCATCTGAGCTTTGGGCAGTCTGTCCGCTTGCACTATGCCTGCATTGTCCAATGTTGTCGTTAGCCAGATATCTGCGACCAAGAGGCTTTACTTACTTTCGCCAGACAACTTTCCGCCAAGCCCTGAGCAATCTATCAGCGCATGTCTCATGCATTGTAAGTTTTGGTAAGTTGAAGTGTTGAGGTCGACGGAAGCGATTTTCACGAAAGGCGGTGTGGAGGCCTTTTGACCGACGCTGCGTGTTCAGAAATCAAACGGAGTCCCCTCGCCGCATTTCTCTCCAGGTGCTTCCACCCGCCGAGGCGAGGTGCTTTGACTGCCCATAATTACAGGAATCATAGTACAAATACCAATAACAGCAGTAGACATAATGTAGTAATGTAGTAGTACTCGTAGTACTCGTAGCACTCGTAGTACTCGTAGTACTAGCACTGCTAGTAATACTAGGAAAAATGAGAGTAATAGTAATAACAATAATAACAACAGTAAAAATTGTCATAATAGTCATAGTCGTCATAATAGTAAGAGTAGAAATAGTAAAAGTAGTAGCAATAACAGAAAGTATACTACTTATAGTAATTATTGCAATTGTGATGATATGTTCCAAGGATCCATATGGCATCTCCGGAGACTCGAGTCCAGGACCATTCCCGCCTGGCGAGCGCTGAAGATGGCTTGCCGGAGGTCGAGGATTTGTGCGCCCGACGCGTGCTTGGGACGAGGGTCTCTGCTTCGACGGCAAAGATGTGGGGCTGGTTTGCATCATGATCATCGTGCTCATGCCATCCGCAAGATCTGTGAGCAACCGCTCAGAGTAAAGACGATGTTAGTGGCAATCAAAGCAGAGTCGCAGCTCGCCATTGGCAGGTTAATGCTTCGGCCGCAACAGCCTTGCGTGGACATTGCGGCCTCTTGCCTGGTTACCGACAAGTTCCATGTTTAAATGTTTGGGGGCGAATGGCGCACTTCTGTTCTGTAGAGCTTGAAGTGCGCCGCTTCTCCAGACCAAGCACACGCCAGCTAGCAGCATCATTTTTGGGGGGGCACCCCTTTACGCCCTCCCGCTGATAAGCCCCTCTGCCGAGAAACTATGTTTGCGAAGAGCACTTCGCTCTTGTAATGTACACGCGTTGGCGGCTCGCGGAGTCAGTGGCCCCCCCCCTAAACACTTTGGAGCCAGAGGTGAAATAGGGTTGAACCCCATCAAAGCCAAGTCAGTTGTGTCCATTGCTCTCCCCCCATGCATGAGATGGGGCAAATTTCCACCACGTGCCAAGGCATTGACTTCACTGATCGGATGTGTTGCAGCCATGTGTTGGCCCAACGTGGCGTGCATATGTGTTTCTACTTACCTGTATATGCGTATATCCATCCATCTCTCTGTAGTTTATACAGAAATGATATTTTACACAATGTTCTGCATATGCGGCTACATAAACACACACGCACATATATATATATATATATATATATATATATATTTATTATGTGCGAAAACACCAAAAAAGCATAGATCAATGGGGGGGTAGCATAATATATATATATATATATACATATATATATATATATATATATAAACATGTTCACATACTTTAAAATTATACAATATACTGCAACAAAATATTCACTTAGTATAACATGAGATCATATACTTATTATATTTCTATGTACATATACATGTACAATGCTTTCTGCACAGTGTCAGGTATCGCCTTACATGTGATATTTATTATGATGTTGTATAATGCAGCTCCAAAACCGCAGCTCCGCTCATTTGAATACCGCGGTCGCTCCCTTGGTAATGCGTCATGCGTGCGATCTGGAGCCGACTCTAAGTGCATGGGCATCACGATTCCAGTATAATAAATATATACATAGATGCAGAGAAAAGAAATATACATATACATATGTTTAAATGTGGTTAGCTCAACAAAGTGTTACAATACATATAGAGACACATAGTCTCCAATTTATGCTCACAGCTAGCTGTCTTCGCCAGGTATCCCACCATCTGGAAATCTGAATCGAGGCCTCGCCGTGTGTAAGTGTCAGATTTGCAATAGCTCTTGACTGCGCCCTCGAACTCTCAAAATCCTCAAGTACTGTCCTACACACAACAGAATGCTTCTGGAGTCATGGGGGCCCGGTTGATCACTTTGATCATGTCAAGGTCTTCAGCCTCGGTCTCCTTTGCTGCTGAGACCTCAGATGGGAGGTTTTTTCAAAAGGACGACCAAGAAGGGGCCTTTTCATGAGCGGTTCTGTTTAGAAGGTGCCTATAAGGGCCCTTGTTTAGAATAAGAGGGTGTACCACTGCCCCAATTTGCAAAACCACTCGATGCTGTGACTGATTGCCTTTGTCCGCTTGCAGAGGCTGGTGCTGGTCGCAGATGATGCAGAAGTCGCTGATGCTCCAATGCATGTGTGGCAGGCCGAGAGACACACCAGTCCATGGCGCATCGCTAGCAATCATGTGTCGAGGTGTCCTCCACCGGGTTTGCGCGACTTCAAGCTAGCGGATGTGAGGCAGCCATGAGACAGGTTGACTGGCGGTCCGTTGCGGTTCATCTCACTGCAGGAATTTGTGGAGTTGAGCCCAAGCATCCTCTCCGCGGATTTCACGGGACGCCTGTACTGCGCGACATCCTCGGTGAGACTTGGTGAGACTTGGTGGTTCATCTGTGCACATTTTTATCCTACACCAAGATGGCCTATCGACTCTCCATGCCCTTGAGCTCAGACCATCTCAGACCCTTGTGAATTCTACTGAAATAGAGCAAACGTCCCTGTGCGGGGGTACTCTTGGACCAGGCCCGTGATTACAGGCAAAGTGTACCAGAAGTTTTACACACAGCCGCCGCCTTTGACGTGCTTTGCACCGCGAGCTCTGTAGGTAGCAGCCTGGACTGTTCCAGGTTTGTTCATGCTCGCTGCCCGGCTTTGCGCTCAGCGATTCGTCCTTTTGTGCTATGGTGGGGAATGCATGTCCCGAAAGAGTTGTCAGTGTGCCAAGAGGTGAGCACAACAACAACCGAAAAGTAATGACGGGTCCTCGCTGTGAGATGGATGAACGTGAAAGCGCACGCCGATCGAGCAACGCATGCTGCCATGCAAGGAACTGTCTGAAAATACCTAGCATTCTGAGGGGCATCGGTGTCGTGAGAGTGGGACAAGTTCCTACTTGATGGGCAAGTAACTTCTAAAGGCACTTCCATCACAGTGTTCAAAGCAGCACCAAGAAGGCCGAAGCCACCCCGAAAAGAGTGCTTGCTGGACACTCCATGACAAAACTGATCAAAGCTGACACCGGCAGCATCCGGAATCCGGCAGCTAAGAAGCGTTCCCGTGTCCGTTGTCTGCAGTTCTTGCTTGGCTTCGAGGTGTGCAACACTGCGTCGTGTGGGCCTCGAGCATGCAATTGAAGTCACTAGCTTCAGCGCTTTCCACATGGCGAACCACGCTGGGTGCGGCCACGCGTTTCGCTGAGTTCGATCCCGACGCTTTGCCTGTTGTGCGGCACCTTCCTATGCTGCAACTCAGAGCCGCAGGCCGAGGGTGGCGCGCAGCACCGCAGAGCATCGCGCGCTACGCTGCGCGGCACGCTGCGCAGCTTATGTAAGTGGCTTTATTTGCGTGGACTTGAGCCAAGGTGCTGCAGGAGAGAAGGTGAAGGAGGGCAGATGCTCGGAGAAGTGACCCAACATGCACAGGCCACGGGTCCAGGGATCCACAATTTGATCCCTATCCTCCCAGTGCTTCCTCTCAGAGGTCTGTGGCTTTGGGACCTGCATCTTCCTGCAGCTCTCCAATTCGCTCCTTGAGCTTACAAACAAGTGTGACTTGCTGTGACTAGCTGTGCCTTGCTGCACTGTGCTCGTATTTTGAGGGCTGCAGGGCAAATCTGCAACAACTCGCACGCCGTTGCAACCTTGCCTGCGAGGCTAGTGCACATTGTCACTGATGGGCTCATCACCTGCCCAATTGCTCAGGAATTCTTGGTAGACACAGTCATAAAAACATACGAGTGTGAGTGTCTGAGTAGGAAAAGACCACAACAAGGTTGGGGTTCCCTTTACCTTGATGGACACGGAGAAGAGGAGCCCGGAAGCCAATGGTTGTCAGAGCATTGGCAGTATTCTGACACACTTGTATGGCCAATTGGAGTTAAGCCTTAAGGTACAACTTGTCACGGCCACTGTACATCTCAGAAGTACGACTCCAGCAACTGACACAGCCGCCACCTGAGAGTCTGAAAGTCCACTGCAGTACAGTAGTACCGGGCCTGAGCGGAGTCACTTGCTGCGGGGTCCAGGTTGGTGCGAGAGGCTTCCTTCGATTTCGAGTGTTCACCCCGGCAGTGTGTGCTGGTTCCACTTGAATTGCGGCTGATGCGTGCGACATTGTGCGACTGTCTAAGCAGCTGCCCTGTGCTCTTATTGCTTGTGTGGCTGGTGGCCGCGTAGCCGCCTTACTTCTGATCAGAGCAGTCTTCGAGGTCGCGTTTGAAGTGGAAGAAGGTGATTTTCGTGCCTTGGCTCAGGGGAGTCGGAGCGAGCTTGTGTATGCTGTGTCCTGGTGTACGAACTTCCTTGACCAATCGATGCTGCTGCAAAGGTGTAAGCAGCCCGACTGATGCTGTCGAACACCCGCTTGTACAAAAGTTAATGATCAGCTTTGATCCCAAGGTGTGTCGATAATCGGCAACCCAGTTGGCTTACAGCCGTGGATCTATCGCTTGCGTTAGCCTTTCAAGTTCAAGGACAGGGGTCCCAGTGTAGTGGAAGGAGTGACAGTCAAGTCAGGAAAGTGCTCCTGAGTCACCCAAAACAATACAGCTATGTTTACTCCGAGGGTCTCGCGCTGCAATTTGACATGAGGAAGCTTAAGCTCCACTTGTATCCAGATGTTGATGTTGCGGCACCACTGCTCGAGTTTTAGACGATCCGTTTCCCAGTTATTTGCAGTTCCGATGGAATGTCCACCTTCTCTTTGCAGTCGCCTCCTGGAGTGGGTCCTGTACAGCCCAGCCCACCGCCGCAACTGCGTGTCACTTCGAACGTAATGCGCCCAGTGGGCCCAGCAGGCCCAATGCAGGGGTGCCCCGTTCAAGGCTCCGTCCCTGGCTACTACGTGCGAGGGCCAGCACCAGCCATTCAAGCTGTTCCCGGCGCTCCTCGACCCGTGCCGGGCGTGCCGGGCATTCCGGGCGTGCCGGGCGTGCCAAGCGCCGTTCAGACCCCCATTCATTTGACCCGGCCTGTGCGCTGGAGTGTGCCGCCGGGTGTGCCAGGTGTGCCGGGTGCCTCCGTCGCACCTCCAGGCCCTCCGGGAGTTTCTGCCAGGCCGCATCCAGTTCCAGTCGTGCCAAAGCAGCCGATCCAGATGGCGCCGCCTGTGCAGGCCGTTCAAGCCGTCCATCCTGTACCGCAGCCACTACAGCCACCGCAACCGCAACCGCAGCCACCGCAGCCAAGCCAGCCAAGCGAGTCATGCCAGCCCACACAGCCAAGACAGCCAAGCCAACCTGTCCACCCCATGCAAGTCCTTGCCCAGTCTTTGGCCGCACTTGCCACCCCACAGGCAGAACAGCAGGAGCCTGAGACGTCAGAGGAGACACACCAAAGCGAGGACTCCTCTGAGACTAGCCCGGCAACTGGAGAAGCAACTTTAAGCCCACCTCCAGACTCGCCTAACACCGATCTGGTGGCACCAGAGGCCGCTCGCAACACCACTGTGAAGGTGGAGCCTGCTGCTCCGCTGGTGGACAGAATAGCAGGCAAGAACGCTGCCGACCTGGAATCTATGGAATCACATGGACCTGTCGGGAGTCTTTTCGCCAGCATTAGTAGTGTTCTTGTCCCTTTCGCTGGTGAGGTTTTAACAGACCATGTAGTGGGTACAGCATGTTGCAATGCAACGCAGTCTAGCAGCATGGCATAGCATGGCATCTGGCCCACTGATCCAAAGGCCTGTGGCAACAAGCTTAAACTTAAGCTTGCGCAAGCTATACACCACCATTCAGAACATAGTCGCAAAGAAAGATTGCTATAACTTTCCCCAGAGAGGACGTTTTGATTCCGCTTTCGTGCTGAGGTAACTGCACGAAAGCAGCTCGACATCGCGAGCAGCCCGCTTTGGCATCTCTTGCGGCAGCCTTTGTTGCATTTTGGCTGAATGAGGGATGAAACCTCTTGACGTCCTTTCCTTTGGGGGGGATGGGCTGGGGCGAGTAGGGAGCAGTGGGAAAGGCACTCGCTGAGCGCTCATAGGCATGTGTAGGGCAACCGGGCAACTCCAAGCACTGCGAGGCCGGCATGGACGACGCCCACTTGCAACGAGGCTGCGAGGCAACGGTGCGGAAACTGGAGTTACCAGAAGCAGGACACTTAGGGGACATGCTTGAACGACACGGACCGACTCCGGAGCGCTGGCCACGTTGCAGGATTGTATCCGGACACAGAGGACGCAGGTCTGGCTGAGTGGCCGACTTGGGTGGACAGCACAGCCGAGGACAGTCACAGGGTCCAGCTGCGTGCCTCTGTTCCACAGCCACTGGTAGGATTTCCGATGATTACGGAGTAGGCATGGGCTGGCCCTTTCGCAACTCTTGCATTTTCAGGACGCCAGTCGCGGTGGGGCGATTGCTTTCCTGCCTTCTGACGTCCGGAGTGATTCTCATTGCATGATCCTAAGTTGGCTAGTCATTAGTCTGGCGTTTTCTGGAACCCCAGAAGGCAAAGTGCTTGGAGCGAGATGCGCACACACGGTGTCCAGCCCAAAGGTATATATTTTATTCACGGTGGTGGGTTCGAGTATGGTTCGCCGCTGGAAGATGGCTATGATAGCCTATGCTCGCGAATCGCAGCAGGCTCAGGCACGAAACATGTCTTTGTGATTGACCGCTGCTGGCAAAATTTCACTTGTCATTCGCAAAGAGTAGGCTCTGCGAGGCCTCGTGGTGGTATGCCCAGATCATCCTTTATCCGGGGAGAATCGGCCTTTCAAAGCACCTGAAATTTTAGATGGGCTGCTGAAGGGTCCGAGCCTTGGAGCTTGCATACATCGCATCGGCATGCATCGGTCTTAGTTAACATGACTGGAGCATCTAGGTTTTATATGCGGAAGTCTGCTAGACTGGACGCTGGAGGCTTGCGGTGGCTGCTGCGATTCGACCCGGTGACAAAGGAGAGGAGAATATCTGCCCCAAAGGTGATCGTAGCTGGTGATTCTGCGGGCGCTACGCAGGCCACGCGGCCTGAATTAAGGTCCCCAAACAGGGCTGGGGCTGCCCCGGAGGTCTTCGGGCTCAGGCCCGAGTTTAAGGGGTTAGGGTTCTTGCTACTGTTAGCTCTCAGGAAAGCTGGCCACAGGGTTTCAGTCGCTCCCCCGCTCCCCAACTCTGCGTGAGGCGCTTTCAACTGCACTGCGTGCGCTGGCGCAAGAGGACCTCGAACTTTCCGCATCCATTTGTGGACTCATCCTGATCTCACCATGGCTCGACTTGAGCTGTGGCAGCCACACCTATGAAGCTTGGCAGAAGAAGCAGGTTGCACTGGAAGACTCCGGAAGACGGCATGCGAGTGTGGGAAGCGTGATCGGAAGTGCGCTTGAAAGTTGAGAAACCTTGCTCTGCATTGCATCAGGCGCACAGACTGCTAGTTCTACACATAGGAAAGCTTTCTGCCCCAATCTCAGCCAGGTAAGCAATGCTTATGCGGAGGAAGGACACACCGGCGACATTGCCTTCCGCGAGCACGCCGACGACAACCGAGCATCCTTCCGTCGCACCATCGGCAGCAGACAGATGGCTGGCTTCTTTACTGTCGTTTTGAATGCTTATTTTTGTTGTGAGTCCTCAATGAGGTATGGCCATGACATACACTGGCTCGCCTGCGCTTCTGAAGGCCGCTTCGCCACCAAAGAGAGCCGCCATTCGGGCCACACGTCGTGCGCTTCCTCTTCGTCTTCTCACAGAAGCCGTTGTTGTTTGTTTGTGGGACCGGATGATTTCTGAGGATCCCGTGCTGAGTCCCTATTGGCTGGCTCGCAACTTGGATGCGGAGCTTGGAGACAAGCTTGCCAAGTCGCGGATGCCCGTGCTCCGCCAGCAAGAGCAGACTGTTGAAGACGATGTTGTGACAGTTGTGACCCTGCCATGATGTGCTTAGATATGGATTTGCGCTGGAGCTGCAGAAACATTGGTTGGGGAGGCAGTCGACAAGTTCTAGTTACAGACTTCTTTGGGGCCTTGTGCATTTGGCGCGGCATGTAACCGATGTGTTCACCTGAAGTCTGAGCCGTTTTCGAAAACAAGCGAAGCCATCTTTGTATGGTCTGTAGAGGTCCTGGACTTTGCAGAACGACTGCGTGGCAAGGTGTCGTGGCCGCAGACTCTGTGCTGTTTCGTAAAGAACAGTACGGTTCAGTATCGACATCTTTTGTTTTCGACTGGTTTAGCAAGGGGGGGAGGTGCTTCTTGGCAGGTGCCCGTTGAAGCGTGGCTCCATGAAGGCATGTTCCATGACTGGGTGATGCGTCTCACCTGCAAACGGAGAGTGAAGCCGTTCTTGCGCGAAGCAGTCAAGCCAGCATGCCGTTGAGCAGACTTTACGAATTGCGTCGAAGGTATACTGCAGACCACCCTCTTCCAAGCAAGGATACCGCAATGACGTCTGCAAGCACTTGGTCATGCCATGCATTCAGAGGGGCGTTCCTAACCATGAAGAGTTTTCGTCCTAACCAGGAAGACCAATGCATTCAAGTGTTTGCTCGCTGTCTAGTGCAGAGTCATTCCAGATCTGGAGCCGAGGAACCACATGTTCGACTTCCTCACTCGACTACGTCGAAGCCCTACTTCCCTACTTTCCATTCTCTACTGGTGCGTCTGTTCGCTGCATTATGCTGTGCGAGCTCTACTTCGCCGATGCCGAGGAGACCCACTCGGTGCCATGGCGCCAGGCATCCATTACTACATCGACGAGTGGAAATGAAGGCTAATGACCAGTCGGCCAGGATACTCGAAAATGAGCTCTGACATTGCGTGCGGTTCGTGGACTCTGTGTACTTGCATGCTTTTACACACATACAATGTGCAGACACTTGCATCATTGATTTGTTGCCAATGGTTCGCACTTCCATTCCTGGTGTTTGTGCGGAAAAAGTCAATTGTTGAGCGCAGTGCTCCCTCCATCCTTGATCGCCGCTCAGCTCGAAGCCTGTGCTATTGGAGTGTCTTGTGCCTCCATGGGTAAAGATGCGAGTAGCGACACGTCGGCCCGGACACAGTCGTCTAAGCGGCTTGGGCGCTGTCGTCCATCTTGTTGTTTTTCTGACACGTGCCTGTAAAAACACAATCCAGCAGCAGACAAGGAAGTGTCTGATGAGTATTGAGTTGTTGAATGTTGTTTAGCAGGGTTCGACAAGTGGTCCAGGCAGCCGACACGAGCAGTGCCGCCGCCCAGTTGCTCTTGTTCGTGGGTGGTTCTCCAGAACAAGGTCGACCGACATTGCGCAGGGTGCGTGATTCCACTGCTCGAATTGCACTATCTGAAGATGGACCTCGCATCGTTGGCTTCGGAAGACGACATAAAGATGATGGAGGCTGAAAAATCAGGTGATATTCTTGGTAGTCTACTTCCACCTTCCCCCCCCCCACCCCCCTCGCCGGATCAGGTCTCGGATTTGTGTGCAGATCGGTTTCTGTCTGATATGGGAGGATGTGGACCGGGGCCAGTGGCTAAGCCACCGGCTCCGCCTCTCCACGCGCTTCGGTGCCTGCCCAGAGCTGCGTCGACAGGTGAGGAAGCATGGCGGAATCTGCCCGAGGGCTTAAGTGCTCAGGAAGCTTTCCGGGGGCTCTTGTGATAGACTGACAGACCTTGTGCAGCCGCCGCGTTCGAGAAGTTTCTATCAAGTGTGCTTGAGGCAAACTGTGGACGGAAGCCCAGCTGGCCCAGCTTCGTGCGACGGCAGCTGGTGTTGTATCGGAACCTGACCGGAGTCCCCTCGGCCTTGAACCCAGGCCCGGCGTTGCATCATGCTACAGCGGTGTCTTCACTGTTGCCCTGTGTAGGAGCCCGGAATTTTGGCCTGAGCCGCATTGACCCGCCTAACCGTGTAGCAGCACATTCAGTGCATCGCCAAATGACTGCAGTCGTGATTTCTTGAAGATCATGTTGCGTGATCTTTTTGACCATCTTTTAAGCTCGATTGTTTAGACTGGGTGCTTCAAACTGAGCCCCAGGCATCCCTTGGCCGATGGTGCTTTTAAACAAATCAAAGGCCGCGCTAGGTCCATAGAGCTTCAGCTGCATGAACAAAGAGAGTTTGCTGTGCCGGGCTCACGGGAGTTAGTTTAACCCTACGAAGCCGGGTCCATCGGAGCTGCAGGAGTTTTTCATGATTGATTGATTGGTCAGCAAGCCTCTTCGGCAAGACTATTCGAACATCTCGTACGTGTATCTCATCTCAACAAGTAGAAAGTCAACTTCAACATCTATGAAGCCTGTGTTCCGGGTATATGAGTTTTGTTTGGTATAGAAAAACGTTTGTCTTGAACAGCATGCTATGGCAACAATACCGTTCGAAATGCAAGTTTGTTTTCCTCCCAGGCCCATGCAGTACAATCCTGAAATAGTAGGGATTGCCTGATTCCTTGATCTCATGGCAGTGCGCGCTCAGCAGGTGCCAGTGGTTACTCAGTAGTTGCTGAGCCATGGACATGGAAGCTTGCTGGGAAGGCTTGCTGCAGCAGCTCCGCGGCTTGCCAGCGGACTTCCGAGGCATGGCTGGCGTTGAGATCTGCGAGCTCCTGTGGCCCCCAAGCCACTCAACCCCAAGCCACTAAACTCTAAAATTTTTAACATGTGAGGTGAACTTCCACCTGAGCAGCGCTTCGACTCGCTCGGCAAGGACCTTTGCCTGACTTCCCTCTATGCGCTGTGCCCGCCGCTGCGGAAACGTGTCGCCAGCTGCGGCGGGCTGGCACAGCTCTGGAGCCACTGCCATCGAGACCCCACGGCGGACCCTGAAACAGAGCTCGCCTGGCAGCAGGGGGCCCCAGCAGCCGCCCTCATGTCATGGCTTCGTGCATCTGGATCCTATGAGTTGTATATTGAGATCCGGCCCTAAACTCTGATATTCCCAAGCCCTCCACACCACTCCCAAGTTGCTCGACTCGTCAATCCGCATGGGCAGAGGAGTTTTGCTCGATATGGCTCCTGGCAAGAGGCAAGTTTTTATTGTTGGCAACATCCACTCCAGTGCTCTCGCTCTAAGAGCTCAGCCATCTAACGAGTCTGAATCTTGCCTGGCTGAAGCCTTATCTTTAGCCTTTAGCCTCACCGTTTAGCCAATGCTGGCCGAATCCGAGAATCCAGGCCCTTGCTTGGTGTTTCTCCAGGTCCGGAGCTGAGGTGGAGCTGAGGTGGAAAAGGTGTGGAGAAAGGATAGTTCTGTACAATGACTCAGAATGATTCTGAAATCAGTTAGAAACTGAGATTGAAGAGCGAGGTTTCTGAAACCTGGACCCCGCCCACCTGAGTAATAGCGGCAGTCAGACTGCACCAAAGGTTCATATTGAGAGCAGGTCGCTGTTGGCGGACCTCCGCGACTGCGACCTTGAAGGCTGCAGCAAAGAGGAGCTCGGAGGCGTTTTGGCGCCGCGGGTGCAGCTGGCATCCCGCCTGCGGCGCTTCCCCGCGATGCGCGAGCTGCTCAACTGCGAGGGCGGCCTCTGCCGGGGGCCTTGTGAACACTGTGCTTGCCAGTAATTGCTGCTAGCGATTTCAAGTTTTTTCGGCAGCCTGCGGTCTCTCGAGGCTCCCTCTGGGAGAGGCTGCGAATGCGCCCACAATCAGCACCTTTCAATGGAGACCTCTCCTCGTGTTTGCCGCCCTGCCTGCCAATCCCTGGTCTTCCTGGATGCTCGACAATGTCTGCATGATGCCCAGCTTGCATAGGCGACTTCTTGGAAATTGCAACAGTACATAAGCGGACTCACCGCCAAGGCCGAAGGCATTGCTGCCGCCGGGGCGTGCCTTTTGTCTTGAAATACCTGAGCCAACACATGTCTTTCAGACGTGAAGGCAGAGAACTCGGGGAAGATGAGCTGAATTGAGCTGATGAGTGGTCGAGCGAGCACAGCTGTGCATGACTGCAGGTATCTACCTCCGTGTACATCTCAAGTGGAACTCACATGTGATCAAAACGCTTTGCAAATTACCAAGCTAAGGCTTGCCTGGGTTGCCGTTCTTCCCACCTTGCGAGTCGCTTCTGCTCGAGTACTTCGATCCGATGCAGCCGCGCCGGCACCCTGTGGCGCTACCAAGCACTCTCGTGCCAGGGCCAGCTTACCCGCTTCACTCGACTTTGGGGCCAGCTTTCCTTCGGAGTGAAGTGGACCGAGACCTGAGCAGTGGGACGAGGGAAGTCCAAGATCAAGATGTCGTGCGAGAGATCTGGATTGTTGCCGGTGACGCGTTTAATGCTGAGTCCTGGAAAGAGTCTCTGGAGGTGTGGTGCAGAGAGAACGACTGCTCTTGCATGCAGACCGGGGCTCAACAACGCATCCACACTGCCGAAGCTGTCTCCCAGCTACTGTGCCAAATAGACGACAGCTCGTTATTGGCACATGGCACTCATGCTACACCTGCAGAAGTTGCGCGGCTGTCCTCTTTATCCCCTGCGACCCTGAAAGGGGCCTATCTGCACTTGATTATGTCCGAAGTGGGATGGGGTGCCATGCCGGACTCACCCTGGGAAGCCGCGCATGTGAACAGTCTGGACAAAGTACTCTGTACCCTCAGGGCCTTCGTCGATGGTAGGTCTTTGCAGGAGACATCCGGCCATGAGAAGTTTCGCAGCAACTTCAAGGGAATGCACGTGTTTGGAAGTTTGGACAGTTCCGGGAGCTCTTGCTACCTGCACCTAGAGCCGCAGGTGTTTGCGAAGCATCTGAAGAGCCTTCAAAGGGAGCTATGGAAGCTGACTGACGCACAGTTTGTGGAAGCGGTCTTTCGGGCCAGCGCGCAAGGTGAAAATGGCATCCGGGTCTCCAGAAGGCCCACGCAGGTTCTGGACATCCTGGACAAGTACGCCACGACGGGCCCGTCCACGGTCGTGGTTCCGGGCTTAGTCTAGAAGCGCTTGGCGTGAATGGATGGTCCTATAGGCGCTTGAGTTATACAGCCAGTCTGGGATAGTGCAGCATTGGTTCCGGACTGTTTGCTGAAAGGTTCTGGCTCTTCATGCTGACCGACTCCCGCAACGTGGCCGTCGAGAGGAAAAGAGATAGAGGAATGATTCGGAATGAGAGGAACAATAGGGGAGGAACACAATGTATAGGGTGAAATGAATATCCAAAAGACATTTCATGAAGATGATTCTAGTAACATCAAAAAGACAGAAAATGAATTTGCTCAGAAATTATTTGTGCTGCTTCTATATGACTGCCTCTCTTTCTTTGCTTCTGGTTTTGCATCGTTGTGCATTTTAATGTACTGGCGGGTATGTAAACTCCATCCATCCCACCTACATATTTTTCAAATAACTCATTTTCATCCGAATTTGGATTATCACGAGACAAATAACGTAGCCTAGGAACTCAATCTCTTCATTGGCCCTTTGGGAATCCACCCCTTCCATCAGGGAATTGTTTTGATTCTATATGTTGGGCGTCGAGTCGACTCGAAAATCTAGAACAGACGTTGAGGGTTTATCTAGATGCGAGATTTCAAGGGCTGCCAGACCATTTTTTGTTTCATGTCGGGAAGCACAGATCAAGCCGAGGAATGTCGTTCTTACCATGTGAAGCCTCGATTCTATTCAAAGCAATCTGAAGCAGGAGCGATGAAATGCATTTGGCTTTTCTATTCGATAACACTGGGAACCTTGCATAATGGAAACTTAGCTCTTTAGGTCTTCTTTAGGTGTAGAATATCGACGAAGTTGGGGGGGGGGGGGGGGGGGTTCTTGAAGCTTCTTGGACAAGGTCTTTATCAAACCATCTTTTGTTCATCTTTATTAATTAAATTTCTATTCAGGGTCTACAAAAAGAGATTTCTCGGGGCTCCTTAGAATATGTTTTTATTTCCAAGATACGAGCAGTTGTAGACCACTTCCCGTACGTAAAATCTCGATTCAACAAGCTGGATCTTCGAGATCTCCTTGAATGTGGCTTTAAGATTTAGACCCAAATCGCCTGACCAAGTTGTTAGACGTTCCAGTTTGCTTCCCAACGCCAATGAAGACTACGATTCATCTGAACACATGAGTATCAGGCATCTGCACGCAATTAGAACGCAGCTCGCTAGAAGTCACAGTATCACATCGTATACGAGAGCGCCCACTCCACATGATTCCACATGTATCAAGATCAGATCGTGAATATCCACACCTTTCGTGTCAACAAAGCAATGCACGCAGGTCCGATGTATCGTCCAGGCGACAGCATTGCGAAATTTCGCGGTCGGGCAATTTGCACCCGGCATGACCCCTAATTACTCAACCCCCCCCCCCCCCCCCCCCGCTCACCCAAATTACTCGCGCGAGAACAGCAGGCAATCAAAACAGGAACGGAATGAATCCAACATCAACTGTCTTATTTTGCCGCAAAACCAGATAGCATCCCAACAATTTTCGTTGCATCCACACCATGTGCACTCCACGCTGCAAACCATGCTGCAAATCCATGGAGATCCTGCCCCTCGTTTCCATGCATGGGGATGCTTAATCGAGCATCTGCTTCCAGGCATGTAGACTCAGTGACTGTCTCACTTTCGATCGAATTTCCCCTGTGCTCTGCCATACGATGCGTTTGCCTTGAAGGGTTAGGACCTAGGACATAGTAGGACTAGAAAGAAACCCTTGCGTCATTGAATTGTTTCTACTCGTTGCAGTTTTGCTCGAACTCAGCAGCTGGTAAACGACTCCAAGCTCGACATGGTGTCTGGGGCAACACTGGAATGAGTGTTTCCTCTGCTCCACCTTTGCCAGTCTCGATTAAGCGAGAATTTCTCAAAGTTTGCGAGTCCAAGGTCTCTCCACAGTATTCGAAAGGTGCATCAACAATTGAAGAATGGAGCGTCTAACACGCATGTTCCCTCAATCCTAAACGCTAAGTCCTTGTGGGCAGATCTGAAAGAAACGAGTTAACAGAGTAAAGCCTAACTTCATCAAGGTGTGTGCATGGAAGCTTCTCGCAACGGTGGGCGTTGCTTGGGCTTACGGTTCTTGGGCAATTTCTAACAACATTTTTGCGGGGTTTAGGTTGGGACTCGGTACTTGACCTTCCAGAAGAAGCGACACCAGAGCCACTCGGTATGAATCTATAAAGCTTCAATCGATCCCTGACAAAATCTCAGGACTTTGGACGAACGCGACGTCGGCCACTTGTGGCACGGCACGTCAAGAGGGACGAGGTTGAGGATTTAGGGGGTTTATTGTCGGCCTAGCGGCACGGGCCGGCCCACGCCCCCCCAACAACGATACCTTGAAGCTTGGCATGTAGCATCCTCATACCTACAGGTTGTGTGCGGGGCGGAGATCTGGCATGCAAGCACATCCACCGCGGGTCCCCAGACTGCCACATGTCTACCACCCGGCTCTCAAGTTCCGCCAGCATACCGGGCTCCGTGACGGCTGCTTGAGAAGGTCGCTCCTTCTCTTTTTTTCATTCGGCTGGGTGCCTGAACTTCTCTTTTTTGATTCGGCTGGGTGCCTGAACATCGGAAAGTTCCCACGCCAATGCAGCATGCTTGCTAAGCCACTTCAAGCCGCTTAGCGCTCGAACTGGCGCTTTGGTCCCGTCCTGCAAGAAAGAGAAAAGGTCGACGGCATCCACGTCAGCCAGGCCTCCTGCCCTTCCACGTAGGAGTTGGTAAGCACCCCGCGACCGTGGCCCTTTCGGCAGCTTTGACTCGTGTGGTGGCCAAGTCCAACAAGTACTGCTGCCATTCTGCAAGGCGTCCCTCGCCCAAGCTCGGCGGCCGGTGTGCGCCAGCCACTTCCATGAATTCGGCCAGCATCGCTGCGTCCCCAGGTTGCTGGCTCACTTTTTCGGACCTTCGGGCCGCCCTGGCTGGGACTGTGACCGCCTTGGCCAGCCTACCCGGGCTCAGGCGCTTCTTAGTGGCCACCGCGATGGCCTCGTCCACGAGGCCAATTCCGCCCACGCATCTGCCACAGCGTGGTCTGCCGCATTGCCAGCTTCCTCCCAAGAGGTGAAGTAGTCCCTGAAGGTATTCACCTTGCGCACGGCTATGCGGTCAGTCTCAGCTGCTGAGCCCTCCGGGGCGTCAACTCGCCCCTTTGCATCTTCCATGGCTTGCGCTGCATAGATGCCGGAAAACTGCCCTGCCATGATAGCGGCCACCAATGCTCCTAGGCAAGCCACACGAGGCACATGGTGCAAAGAGCGGGGCATATCCGGCAAGGCCGGATATTGATATGCCCAGCCAGAACCATAAGACTGCGGCCAGCCCTGGCCGCTGAGTCTCTTCGAGCGCTGGCGACTGGCTCCAAGCAGGGGTCCCTCCACCTGCGTTGCCTGTTCTGCCACGCCACACCCGCCAAAGATCCCGCAGGGTCGCTCGACTTGGGTGGCTCTGGCCCCCAACTAGCTCCACCAGTCGGGTGACATGGACCGGCACGATATCCTCCGGATGAAGGCCTGTCGCAGCATCCAGCACCTCGATGAGTGTAAGGCGCCGTGGCTGCGCATGAAAATCCTGCCAGGCTTGAGCCGGGCTAGCTCCATCACGTACGAAGACTGACCGACGCGTGAATGTTCCAACGAATGAAACTGGAAACCCCCTCTCCCTTTCTCACAGCGGGGGTAGGGCACGTTAGTACACGCCGCCACGCGCGCTGGCGGAATACCTCCAGGCAGTGGGTTAAACATCTCGGGGCCTGGGGGCGGGAAGTGCTGAATATCACAGCTGATGCCCAAACAAACCAGGCTTCTGCAGTGTGCCCTTGTGCAACGAGGGTCGCGATGCTGTCACGCCACAGCGGTTGGCTGCAAGATAATGGCCTCGGTATGACGCGCCGCCACTGTGAATGCATTTTTCATATCACTGGCAGGTCTCTCCTGACAGCAGAACAAAGTGAGTCACTCTCACAAGCAAAACGTGAGACTCTCTCACCGCCACAAAAACAGCTGCCCGCCGTTTTGGGTCATACTGGAGCCAAAATGGCACGCAGCAACGAGTTTAGAATGATTCATCCACACCCATGCCTGCCAAACACGATGCATGATATAAAAATTTGTGATTTGTTTGGATCGAGTGCAAGACAATGAGTTTAGACCGAAACCATAAAATGAATGGGTCTGAGTGGCTGGCCCGCCTCTTCCGCTCGGGAGTGAAGAGTGATGGTTGCCCACCGCAGTCTGGCCCCTTCATTGTTATATTGTTTTTCAAAGATCATACTCCACAATACTCTCATCTTAGCAAATACAAAAACAAAACATCAGAAATTCCAAATATCATTTTTCAATATCAAGTAATTTGCACACTCTCAAGACATTCAGCCCGAAACTCCTAAACCCTAGCTGGCTCTAGCTCAAATCCTTGCTGTGGTTTATGGGGCCCCCGGTTCCCAACCCCACAAGCCCTTGCAGGCCCCAAGCCCTTTAGTACGGCAAACTCCACACTCCGGCTCCATTCTCAGGAAAGTTGGAACTGTTTCCAAGAGAAACTCATCGAAGGGTTTCACAGGGAATCTCGATCCCCTCCCCGCCAAGCCCAAAACCCGTATGCTCCAGACTAGAGGTGACCAAGAACCTCAAGCACTTCTTCAGCGCCCTCCTAGGGCATCGTCCTTGAAGGCGGAGGCTGGATGATTAGATGGAGACCTGAAGAGTAGAGGGTCGAGTCTTCGGGATTTGAACCTTCAGTCGTTAAGAGAGAGGTTAGGTCGCTTGAGGTTTCAGGGATGCCAGATGAATCCCCAATCCTCCAAACCCTTTAAAATAATGCTTTCATCCTCGAGTCTGGCCACTGGCTGGTAAGTCTGTCCGTGTCCCCTCCTCACATGGCGAATAGGGGTGCGAGGGGATGCACGTTGTCATGGTTTTAGTTGCATCTGGAGGATCCAGTTAGGCTTTGTTCATGCTGTTCAAGCAGCTTAGGCCAAAGGGTCAACTTGGCCTTTGAGCCTTTGACGACTATGCGGACAGAAAGGGGCCTCACCAATTCATTGTAAAATTCCGTATCTTTGTAGACTCTCAACCCGGATACTATCCTAAACCCTAAATCCCGCAGCTTAAACACCTAGCCCTTTTATCCTACATCCTGCACTCCAAAGTTTATAACTATTTTTCCTTGCGGCGCACCCCGATAGTCACCCGATACGCGGACGTTATTCCTCGAGCGGTGGTCGCATTTTGGACGACATCGTACTTTTTCGACTGTGAAACATCGCGAATAACATGCTTTTGGCTTCGTGGATGGTGTCGAATCGCGCTCTCGCCGAGGCCCTGTGCGCATTTTTCTGGTGTTTGCACGTGGAAATTGTGTCCTGTGATGTCCCGTGCACTTGTCCAGGCTTGCATCACTCCGTGTACTGAAAACGTGGCTGGCGCATGGTTTCCTGCGTTTTGGGCTGTTGGATGGTTTCGCTTCGTGGTGCTCCCTGAAGTTGTATGTTTTTCTTCGGAAGGTGGCTGGATGAGATGTGTCCTGTAATCTACTGTAGTGCTGGGATCTTGCTCTGCTGCCGGATCTGCGCGTCGTCGTGTTCCTTATGTCTGGAAAGCTTGACAAGCTCTTCGTGTCCCCATCATAATGTGGTCTCTCACTGTTGGGGGGTCTACGCTGGCATAATGTGGATGATAAATGATAAAGCTCAGAGAGCTCAATGTGGACACGAACTCTGATGCCATATGTTTGAGGGTTCTGGATTTGGTGTTCAGTGTGTCTCTTTAGGGAATACGAGGTTTAAGATTTGGGAAGATTTTGTGAAGATGCGCTGAATCGAGTTGTCAAGGGTTCAGAGTGACAAGACAGACAGACAGAGGGTTTCGAGCCATACAGGGCTGGCCAAGGTATGAAGCCGCCCCAGAATCCAACAGCCTGAGCCCTCAACCCTTAAACCTTAAACCTAATCTTCCGAACACTGGCACTGAGCCTCGAGCTTCTGCAGGCAACACCCTCTGCGCCACACGGTCTTTCAAATCCCTCGGGAATTCCGGAGAAGGAAGTGGCGAAGGACTTAGGGGTCTCGGGGTTCCGAGGTTGATACTAAAGCCTAAGAAGCCAAGGTTATTCGCGTTGCACGTTTGCACGTGGTCGCACTCAGCTGTGAAGTCAAGCGCCAGAACCACCAAGCCCTTTGAACTTCAGACCCTAGGTCCGAAGCCCTTTGCCTTGAAACCAGAAAGGAGGACCTCGGGAGCTCAACTAAGCCGTACCGCTGGAAGCGGGCGTGGAAACCCCGTGATGCCCCGGTCTTAGTCGTGGTATCCACTGGGCTGGTGAATCGTCCGCCATTGAATGTTTTCTTAGGATGCCTGCCGCCGAACCCTTTGCTCCAGGCCCCGCATAGGGAGGACACTTTCATCGACCGATGCTTTTGCGACTGCACGGAGGCTACAAGGACGAAGCCTATCTCCAAGCTATCATTTTGACCACGTCCGGGCTGAATGTTGCTGACACACCAACCTGTGCGCTTGCAAACCGCACGGCCATCGCTCTGAACGGCTTCTCTTGGGCGCAGCTGTCATTGTCCCAGGGCCTGTGTCCCTACAGTCTTGGGACGTTCGAGCGTGAGTTGAGGCCTGCCTTGGGTTAGTCTTCCCAACAGCTATCCGAAGGGTTGGGCTTCTATCTCTAGAGGCGGGGGGCCAAACATCACCCCGCTGAACGGAACGGAACAGAACGCCGGAATGGAACGGAACTTGATCATTTTTGTCTTGCTGGCTGTTGGGGTGCACAGCTGGATGAATTTTGTTTTGGGTCCTATGTACCATGTTCTGACCTGGCCTCTCTTGGCCTTTCGCGTCCTTCGCTTCTCGTCTGCCTGTGTGTTTAGCAATGGAGGGAGTGTTTTTGTTGTTCTTTTTTTACTCCCCTGGTGTCGACTGGGGTCCGGTGTTTTTTTTGTTCCTTGGTCTAGCTCTGTCTTTTCCCTTTTCTTAGGTCTCGCGGTCGTGCGGTCGTGCGGTCCCCCTGGTCCTGCGGTCCCCCTGGTCCTGCTGTCCGCTGGTCCTGGGTTTTTCTGGTCCTCTGGTCTTGCGGTCCTGCAGTTCCCTGTCCCGCGGTTCCCTGGTAATGCAGTCCCCTGGTCAATTATTGAGCCGTGCAAGCTTGCTTCAAGACCATACGACTCCCTTCCAAACCCATCATGCGAGCATTGTGTTTGTAAATGGCCAAACCCAGCATTGAAAAAGAAAACAAACTTGCTTCAATGACATCGCGGGGGCAAAGTAAAAGAGCCCAGTTAAACAGCTTTTTTTGGGGCGTATTTTGTACAGATATTCATTTTACTTGTTCGCTCATTAGTTCTGTAAGCTCACCAATCAAGGCTGTTGGCTCAGTGAACACATCTTGAATGAACGAGTCCTTGTCCTTTACGCAGTATTATTAATGGCTGGTTTTTTTGCTGTGCTTGTGGTCGATCACTTATTCCAAGCAAGCAAAAGGAAGATAGACGTGAACCAGAAGTTGGATGTAAATGGGCTTGGAAATCGGCTTTCATGCGAACACACCATGAATAGCTACAGAAAACCCGTAAATGTTATGAATTACATTTTGTTTCTGTTGTTCACTCCCGGTTGAGGAGGGGGGCCGCCCCAACCACCCCGCTTTGAACCCTCTCCAAGCCCATCAAGTTGTGTTTGCAAGGGGGGGGGGGGGGGCTGCGCCCCCCCCAACCCCCCTGCTTTTTTAAAGCCGTGCAAGCTTGTTTTTGGATTAGACGAATCCCTTCCAAAACCCATCATGCAAGCCCCAAATCCCCTGCATTTTTTTAAGCTGTGCAAGCGTGCGTTGAAGACCGTACGAATCCCTTCCAAACCCATCAGCGAGCATCGTGTTTGCAAATGTGGGGCGGGGCTACTACTGCACATGAATGGTGCGCATTGCAGGTTTGTGTCGCGTTTTTGTAAGTGTACAGGAGCTTGAAATGCAGAAAACACGGTTTAAAACCTGTAACTGCTGCTCTTGCTATATGAGATTATTTTCAACGTAGTTGCCGTGGAGCGTGAAATGTTGAGAACAATGAAATGTACAGTTTTCTAAGCACGTGAATACTATACTTACTAGGATGTAATTCCACAGGGAAGACGGTATTTACAGTGTGAAAAGCCTGTGAATACTGTACTTGCTAGGATTTGGAACACTGGCAAAATACAGTGGTTTACAGGTTTTGGTGCGGTGTTTGTAATTTTCCAGGAGCGAAACACTTCAAATTGCAGTAGTTAAAACCTATGAACCGCCGAGGTGTCGAGACGGACCTAGAAAAAGAACACAAGGAGAGCCAGACCTAGGAAACAAAAACACCTTCGCCGGTTGGCCGCTAAACCCATTAGGTGTTTGTTTGAATGCCGTAAGCCAGTAGCCCTGAGCCCGGTTTTTGAACCCTAAGCCCCGAATCGCAGTACGACTTCAAGCAATGAGACCCTCAACACCTTCAAAGCTTTGGGGACAAGGTCAAAGAGATGGAGCTGACCAAAGTGTTGGAGAGCCTGGGACCTGTTTGACGTGACGAAAAGGGTTTGCGATTTACTGGTTTTTGTGCCCCACCCCAAAACCTAAAATCTCTCCTCCAAAATCCACATTGATGGCATATAGCGTGTAGGGCAGATACGCTTAACGCTTATATGCGTTGTCTGTATCGCTGCGTTTGCACTGGTTAGTTGTCATATGTCGACCGTCTTTTCCAGAACTGGTAGATCATGGTAGATCTCTTCTAGTGGTTTTAACGCCTCGATGTTGCCTAGTCACTTTGACCTGCAAAGGATTGGATTTGTACGGGTCCTGGTACTAACACATAAGTTACATAAATCGCGCCCACCATGAGTCCAGGAAGCTCGAGTCGGTGGCAGCAGAGATGTCCTTCAGCTCGGAGGAATCTGTGCTCAGGATTAAGAGCTAATCAGGCAAAGCAGCTGTATGAAAAGTTTGTGTTTATGCAATATTTGCACCTGCCCAAGGGCCCCAATTCGGGTCCTACATAGCTTTGTGGTGTAGACCCATTACACTGGTCGAACACATCATTCAACGTGTCAAGAAGCAGTTCACGGAGAACCAGCCAGGCCAGCATTGCAGCATACCCATAGAGCTTTGCAAGACAGCGCCCCAAAACAGTTTTCCAAGAGAATCAGTGACAGCACATCAAGAGAGCATTCCAAAGGCACACTGACACCGCCAGAGCAGCCCCAAAGATCGGTCCAGGAAAAGGACAAAGGAAACATTGCAAGAGCACAACAAGGAAAGTGCCCTGAGGACATCAGTCCTGACAAAGCACGAAGTTTTGAGCCCCAGAAAGCCGCTTTGCTACTGAGAGCATTCACGTGAGATTCCTAGTGAGCAGACCCAAGAGAGCAGACCAAGAGGGCTCAAAAAGAGCGCTTCAATCATCGGCTTGAAGAATCCTGAAGAGTTGCCAGGAGGGTTGCAAAAACAAGCTTCCCAGTCCTTGCAGCCTTCCGAGATCGAGCTAGTATAGCAGCCCTGCACTACAGCGACAGCTCCGCCGACACGTAAAGCACGCAGAGGGTCGTCATTCGCGATTTGGAATGCGCACAGTGCCCCACCCCCATCGTGCATACATTGCTTGGGATTCCTGCAGCAGAAATCATGTAGCGGCAGCGTTTGAAAAGCCTTGGCGAGCTGCAGGAAATTTCTGGAAGCTCTGATGGATTGGCTAAGCTCCTGACCGAGTACCAGACGCTGAGTTCTAGAGTGCACTTGATTTTATTTCGGGGCTTTGGCTTCTTGTCAGGACAAGCGGCTACCCGGAAGAACTCTATACGAGGATTGAAACGCTCGGGCACAGTTTAGGGGGTCTTGCAGAAGTCAGGAATTTGCGTGATGAGCTCAATCCAACGCGGCGGGACGCTACACAGACTTCTGACGTGATTGACGCAGAAGGGCCGTGCCAACTTCCAGAGAGCGTGGTACCCAAGGACGAAGTAGTTTAGGGTTTGTGTCTGACTGCTACGCCCGCACCTTAAACCCCTAAAGCCCACAGTGCCTGAATTCAACACTTGAGAAGGATGTGTGCAACGAGACTTCAGCAAGCTTCTCCGGCTGCAGCTTCCCCATTAGCAATCAGAAAGCTCTTTCGAGCTCGAACGCGTCAATTCTATCTGGCTGCCCCAACATTTATGACCCTCTGAAAGAGCTTACCCAAATTTTTCATGACTTATGGCTTTTTTGATCCAGTACTTTGATCAAGCCCCTCAGCTTTGGCTGGTCATGGACCTGGCTTGAACGTGCTCAGGACGCTTGCCAAGAGCTATTCCTGTATTGCAACTTACGCAATGACACCCGAATTGTGACTGCGACGACTTGCAACGGGAAAGGTGCTTGGATTCAGCCGGCGGTTCAGGTTCATTTGGCGGAGTTAGGCCGTGCTTCATGGTGTGGGAATTGGTCTTCTGATTTCCAGCTGCAGTTGTGTTGCTCTTGTTTTCTGTTGCCTCTGTACCAGGCACTGCTCACTTCGATCACGCCCTTGCAGCTTTTAAGTCCTACAACAACACATGCTCCCTCGTGGGCTGCGATGACAACACCATTGGCAGCCTCATCTGCAGTGATACGTATCAGTCAGGGAGCGGCAGCAGAAAGTTCTATGTTGTTAAATAATGTTTCATCTCAGTGGATATGAAGCATTATCATCGTTAATTTCATTGGTAGTGAACTTATTCACTGTGTAACCGTTGTTGCTGCTCGACTGAACTGGTTCCCCAGTTCTGGAGTAGTGACACATCTAAACCTATAAACCCCATAGCAGTGCGGGTGCTCAAAACTGCCAGGAGCTTCGACCCCCGGACGACGCTTCAGTTTGAGGTCGAGCCGGGCGCGTGCGTTCACATCGTGCAGCAGTCGCATGTTGCTGGGTTGTCATTTAAGATGTTTCTGGATCTGTGCGAAAAAGTTGTCTGTCTCGCGAGTATCTATCAAAGGGCCTGATCCCAAAGCCCAAGCCCGTTCGAGCGTGGAAGCAATCCCCTGAAGTCCGAACTTAAACCCTGAAAGCCTTCGGCCTGCAGCGAAAAGCCCAGGATGGCATGATGGGCAACGAGACGGATTTGCTTTTCATTTCCAGCACTGACGGCTCTTTCTCCACTGGCGCTACGCTGGTGCAGGAGAAAGCCAGGCAGGATTCAAAAGATAATTGCAGAAGAGCTAGGTTCCTAGAAGTGCAAATATGTGATTTTCATGACGTTGTCGGGGTGGTGTCGGGGCATTCCTGCAGGCACGCATCCGCGGTGGATCTGCTCAGAACCAAGATGGATCAGGTTTCGCGCTCTCATGCTGAAGAGCAGGGGCACAAGTTCGAGGATGTGCAGAAACAGGGCGGGGAGGCATCCATTGTGGAACTGCTCACAGCCAAGATGAATGAGGCCTTGCACACTGTTGCTGAACGGCAAGAGGGCAAGATTGACATTCTGGAACAACAGCAGTCAGATATCTTGAAGGCATTGCACGCCCTTCAGAAACAGGAAGACGCTGCACCGAAAGTGCAGATCTTGAGTTCGGACCGTCACGAAAGCTTTGCAAGCCACATGGAGAAGATGCTCCCTGACCGTGCTGCAGATACTTCTGGCTTCGAGCTCTGCTCTGCCCCGAAGCGCCAGGTTATGACCCAAATGGGAAGCCACAGCAACGCCAAGCTGTCAACCGCGGGGGGCTGCGACAAGGCCAAAGAGATCCCTGTCTTCCAGCCTTCAAGTAGCTTGATGATTGTTGAGGAAATTTGCACATGTTGCGGCATGTGTTAAGCCGAGTGGAAAGCAACCGTGAGATTTGTCCCACAATCCGAGGCAACAGCTCCTCGCCGTTCACGGTCGCATGCTGCCCCAAGGAGTCATTACATTGCGCAGGGTGTGCTGAGATATCGGAGACAGGTGATGAGTGCAACACCTGTGCTGGTGGATATGTCAAAGGAACAGATGGCACTTGTGAAGCCTGCATGGACATGGTGGGTTGGGAGGATGTGGATGGCCAGTCCTGTGCTGCTTTGCATTTCCCAGAGGGCTGCACGGAGAAGAAGGTCCGGGTTAAAGTTAGCCGGCTTCACGCAGCTTTCCCAAAAAGGCCCCTGTGTCGACACCCACGCAGGTAAATCAACATTCCGCCATGGATGCGTGCTGCAAGTGCGGCGGTGGCCACCGCACTGCCACACCCTTTACATACTTCGTGGGTGCAACAGTTTTGGGTGCGGGGGCCCAGCCTGAAAATTTGTTTCAGGCTTCAGGGGTCAGGCAACCCAAGGAATTAGCTTCAGCAATCAAAGCCCCAACTCCCTTAACGGCCCCCCGCTGCCAGGTGCTCAAAGTGTCGTGGGCCATCCCGTGCCGCGGACAGCGAGCCGCTACTTCCTGGACGAGGGATGCCAAGAGTGAAGAGTTGGTTAGTTTTTTGGCAGGGTTCTTTTCTTAGGGGCGATATGAAGGCGTCCTTGTATGTTTTTAAGGAGATAGTTCGTGCTCGGCAAGCCGGCAAGCCGGCAAGCCGGCAAGCCTAAGGATGCGAGCTCTTGCAGCACGGGCTGACTATCAGCGGCACAACCGGCGAGCTGATGCTCGCGGACGGTTGCAGCGCGGTTGGCTGTGGTTCAGCGGAGCCCTTCTCTGTGTCCTGCACTGTCACTGCCCAGCAAGTCAAGGCCGACCTGGAGTATAACTTCAGCTTTTCAGCTGCTGCTGTGGGAGATGTTGCGGTCGAAACAGTCAAATGGTCAAACGCCGACGTTGGTAGCGCGAGCCTTAACATACTGTTGGGTCTGAAAGTCAATGCGTGCCATAAAATTCCAGCGTCTCCCTGGGCATTATTTGTTGTTGAAGTTGATGCGTCCGGCGTCTACTAGGGGATTCGATGTACAGTGGATAGCGGGCATTTGAGTTCGGAGGGGCACTGAGTGACGCCATGGCCGGTCGGATGGGGCCGGAAAACCTGGAGTCCCAGCATGGACACGCCGTTTCTCATATGATGCACCCGAAAGCCAAAAGCAGAAGCATGATGGGCATTGGGAGCCACCCGCAGAGCCGCCGGAAGTGCCACAGCAGGAACATGATGAGCATCATGGCCATTTCGTTTCTCATATGAGGCCCCCAAAAGCATCCTTGGCTCGGGATTCCGCCAAGTTGATGTGGACCATCTTCCTGGCGCATTTCCATGCCGTTTTGCTGCAGCACCCCCAAGGAGCACAAAACTCTGGACTTGCGCACCTTGCAGCCCTGAAGCGACGCTAGCAGTTGGTCAGGTAGCCTACCCCCCATCCATCAAAGAGGGGCCTGCTGCAGCCCGCAACTAATATGTGCCCTTTTAACTCCCTGATACGATCCCGCCGAGACTGTGCTGTGAACGGTACGCTGCAATGCAAAAATATGCAGCAGCTTTGCCATTTCATTGGTTTGCGCCTCATCTTTGGTCAATGTGCGGTACTTTGCATGGCATCAGCAGCCCAGGTACGACGGTGCTTACAGACAGGCTTTGGGTCTTCACTGGAGTTGGAGATTATGCAAATGCTTCGTGTCTCCTTGTTTTAGATCTATTTTCACTTGTTATGGACAAATAGAACATTCTCCCAGCAGAAAGCCCCGATAGCTGATTAATGCCCTGCAGTCTGTGCGTGCCCCTAATTTTTGGGGTCAGCTAGATCCAGCGCGTGTTTTCAAATACTGCAAACGAAGACTGAGGACTGTTTGTTTCTCCGTGGGCCGAATGCCATCAGAACCACCCCATCTTCAGAGGTGCAAACGCCAAATCAGCAATAGGCCGTTCGCTCTGTGTGTGTGTGTGTGTGTGTTTAGAATCTAGGGGTTTATAGCGGGGTTCGTGTCTGTATCTTTGATATGGCCATGCAGGACTTTCTTTTTTTGGTTAAGTCCGTGTTTTGCGAATTAGCTGATGGTTATGAATGCGCTGGGAGGTGCAGTGGCATATCCGGGCCCCTTTTCCTTCCACAGTCTACTTGGATATGTGGACAGGGGAGCATGGCTTTACAAATTGGGCAGACCGCGCTAGTTGGGCACCGTCATCCAGGCAGGGCATCAAAACGGAGGTGAATGGGATTTCTTATGGGCCTGGCTTGGTGTATAGCCGGAATTATTCGGCCGGTGACGCCATCCGCGTCTACGGCCACGACAACGCCGTTGCAAGCTACTTGGTATTCGTCTGCCCGACAGGGCCCAGCGAGTTCCCGATTTATGCGGCCCCCACAAGTAACAGAGACCACCTGATCGTGAGCTGGTCCACCGCGACCGTCGGTAACACGCCCGTCTTTGAGGACAGAGACAACTATCACTTCACTGGCCTTGGAAGTTATGATGAGTCTTGCTTCCATGTTCGTGGAAGCAACGATGACAAGAACATCCCATCTTCGCAGGCACGGCTAAAGCCCTAGTGCCTTACCAGCTTTAGACTCTTGTCCGCGTGTCGCCCCCTTGCAGGTGCAGTGGACCATCAAGGCCCCGTTTGCTTCCCAGGTCTACTTGGATATGTGGGCAGGGCAGGACGAACTGGGGTTTGCCTCCTGGCCAGACCGTGATTCTTGGACGCCAGCGCCTGACATGAAGGGGGTCGAGTTTTCGACTTTTGCTTCAGGCCGTGTGTACAGCCGGACTTATGACGCTGGTCAAACTATCGAGCTCTATGGAAACGAAGGCGCAGGTGCAGGCAGTTACTTGGTCTTTGTTTGCCCCCTTGATCGCAGATCGACAGCCACCACCTCCTCCACGAAGCTAACAGTCACAGCCCACCAGGGTTTCTCCTATGGCGTGGCGCCCCTTGTATTCTCCTCCGGCGAGAGCTACTTGCCAAGCACCGTGCAAAGTGGCACATACCAAGACTTGGCCTGTGCTCCTAAGGAGGTAGCGGCCGCACTGAGCCTCAATGCCGATAATGGCGAGCTTACTTGGGATAGTTCTGGCGCGACTGGTGGTCTTACCTTTTCTCAGGGAGGCGTTTTCAACAGCACGAGTGGTGGGATATGCCAGCTAAGCCAAGGAGGCGCTGAGACGAAGCATAGTCAGCAAAGCACAGCATGCCATGCGCACAGTGAGTACCGCACATACCTAGCAGCAACGGAGGTGTCAAGACAACCTTCGTCGCGCTCAAGCCGCAGATCTGGCAGTCACTCGACTATGGCTATGGTGGCACGGTGCGTGTCACTTTGGGGCAGGCTGCACCTATTCTGAAGCCGCAAAGCGAAAGTGGCAAGCTCGCTCCAAGCCGTTTTACTGCGCAGGCGGGAGCTGTGGAGCGAAGACAAAACAGGATAGAAGACAACCAAGTTCACTTCCGGTAAGATGTGTCGAAGATGTTAGATGCGCAGTTTACGGGTGTACCGTGTTGCTGCGGTCGTCGTGGTCGTCGTTGTGGTCGTCGTCGTCGTGATGGTGCTGGTGGTGGTGGTGGTCGTCGTCGTCGTCGTTGTGGTGGTCGGCGTTGTCTTTATTTTCGTTCTTCGTGAACTTGCGCGAGGTGCAAGAGGAGGAGCCGGAGGACTCTGACGCCTTTGCCTTTGATAGCCTGACTGGGATGTACACGTATTATGGATACGAGCTCTTCCTTCTCAATGTGCAAACAGGTGCGTTGACTCCTTCTCCTGCTGCCGAGATTGCCCAGAAGCTGAAGGCCTCCAGCACTAGGTCGTCGCTGAGCAGGACCTTTGTGGTGTATGCTCACTATGACTGGCCACCCCTGGGTTCGGGGCCCGTGCTGGAGCAGGGAATCACAATGGACTTCCAAGAGAGCACCTGCTGGCCAAGTCAGACCTTGAGCTTCTCTGCGCGCCAAGAGATTGTCAACAAGACAGACCACACGTCTTGCAGAAGTTACTGTAGAGCCAAGGCCGATTGCACACACTACAAGCTTCTCGGGCAGAAATGAAGTCGATGCCCACTCGTGACTTTTGCTGTCGGTCTAGAAGGCCATTCACCCTTGTTTCCTCGAACTCTCGACGATATGGTGCACGCATCGACTCCGCAGTCGACCGAGGTTCGTTCCGGGCACTTGCTTCGAGTACAGCCAGCTCTGCAAGGAGGGGAGTTCAGGGTGCACTTTTTCAAACGTGGAGGTGGGCGGTGCCAAAAGTTGGGATCTGATTCCTCGAGCCTTGCTATTTAGATATCGGTTACCCTTGACCTCCCAGTTCTGGCCCTGGTCGCCCGGCCAAACTAGTTCGTGCAATGTGTATGCATAGCGTGGTCCTGGCAGTAGCTGAGTCGCGCGCCATGTTTTGGAATCACGAAAGCTTGCATGGCTGGCGGGAAGGAAATCCTGAACCCTATCCAGTAGCTGCTCTTGCGATCTTTTCAGGTCATTGCTCGGTACCCCTCATGCGCAGAGAGGGCAGCATGTATTCATTTGGATGTCACGGACAATTACTACATGTCTGGACAGTACTGTCCTGTCGGAGAGAACAAGGTTGCAGAAGGGCGTGTTTTCTTGAAACGCGGCCTCTCGCAGAAGGATTCCTTCTGGCTCAGCTCACATGACGGCACGGCTGAGAACCTGGGCTCTGCATGTTCCAGCAAGACCTGGATGCTCCGAGTGCCCGACCCAAGTCGTGACTTCCTCAATGCATCTGACCACTATGTGGAACTTCATGGACCAGGCGGGCCCCTTGTTAGTGATCTTGCGCAGGCAAATGCTTGTGACCTCTCCGGAAGGCGAGGCGTGTTTGGGCGAGAGCGATGTGATCCATGACATCTTCACATCGTCTCCGAGCACTGTCGCATTGGTCCGTGCGGTTGATTCGCAGGGGTTTAATGCAAAGTTGGAGTTGAAGGTCCCGAGTTGCAGCGCGCCCAACCTAACGACGGCATCGCAGGTGCAGGGGCAGGATCAGGCACAAAAGGATCTTGCTGCTGTTGACATGCTGATCTTGGACGACCCTTCCACTCCTTTGGTTGCTGACCTTTGGCTCGAAACGTCAGCAGTAATTAACAAGAAGACGGAGGAAAATATATGAAACGATCATCATACGACGCGCAACTTTTGGGCTATTATTGGTCAATCGTTTTTCTCAAAAAAAGATATTGACCAATAGTAGCCCAGCGTCTCTCTGGTTCGTAGATTTTTATCCGTTTGGCTTGACAAGGATCATTGGCTGCACCCTTGCCAGTGCGCTCCAGCGGATTGGGGAAATGTCAAGCCTGTGACGGCCGAGGCGACCCAAGATGCTCCGACAGGCAGTCGAACGGGTTTCAGGCCCGCGCCGTTCCTGATCGTGAGCGGGGCCTTCGTGTGTGACCCGGAGTACATGATCGACCACCACGTGGGCGTGGACGTGGAGGTTTTGGACGCAGAGCTCTGCCAGGACAGCCAGCGGCTTAGGGCGTAGAATTTCAGATATGCTCTTTTGGAGGGGGTATCGTTTTCTGAGGTTCTTGCTTCTATTCCACGTTGTTCCATCTGCCATCCAATTCACCACTGGATATGATATAACTCAGGAGGACAAAACGGAATATCAGTACTTCCCATGGCAGACGCGACCTTTTCCTGTTAGATCTACCAAGAGCTAAACCCAAAACCCCAAGGGTTCCCGTCACAGGAACGATGTGCCAGCGAGCGGCTGTGCAAGTTCTTTTGGTCCGGCATGGTGGGTAGCAGCCAACAGTGCTGGCTCTACTCCAACTGTCGCACCTTGTATCGTCAGCTCGGTCTAACTGGTACGTTGACTGCGTACGAGAAGGACTGTAGCTTCTTGACATGTCTTGACGTGCTGCCAGCTTAAATGCCAACGCTTGGGCGCCCCGCCTCGGCAGCCGTCAGTTCTTTGCGACGCCCCCCTTCCCCGCCAGCAAAAAAGATCAAATAGCTATGCAGAAACCTCGGACTCTGAATTTCCGACAATGACAAGCAGACTCGCTACATCATACCATTTATAGCTCTTTTGGGGGAAGAAAAGGAAATCCTCGCGTAAAACTTAAAGGTGGCATATGGCTTAGGGGAGGTCCCGGGCAGATCCTACAGGTGATCCAGGGGTTCTAGGGGTTTCCCATGATTTTTTTGCGAGCTGGAGGGCCAGGCAAGCAGCAAGCAAGACCCAGGAGATCGGGGAAACTGGCTGGCGGAAGCTGTCAGACCCCAAACAAAGGGTCGTCGAGAACTGTTGCTTCATTCAGACAAGAGTTTAAGGGGAGGCGAGTTAAATGGTGTTAGGGGTGTCAGGGGGTCTGCCTCCAGAAGGGGTCTGGGGGCAGAGGGTTGGAAGGAGACCAGATCGCGCTTGCCGCTCAGCTCGGCCGTCGCTGAGGCGAACTAGGTATGTTTGATCAGGCAATCCGTGGCCCCCTCCCTCCCTCCCCCCCCATGGTATGGTATACCCTCCCTCCCTGTGGTGTTGTGGGTTGGTTGGTTCAGGGGGTTTGAGTTGAGGGTTTTGGGTTTTGGGGTAGGGCTTCTCTCCTCCCTCCGTGGTGTGGCTGTGGGTTCGTTTTACAGTGTTAGGGTTTAGGTGTCAGGGCTTTAGGGTCATGATCTAAGTACTCGCCCCTTAGCGGGTTAGGGCTTAGGGCTAGGGGGTCTGGTTTATTCAGGGCTCTGGCGTGTTAGGGTTTCCGGTTTTTTGGGGCTTAGGGTTTTTTCAGTCAGGGCTTGTAGGGTTTAAGCTGTAGGGTTCCAAGCTTGTAGAGTTTTAAGCTTGTAGGGTTTAAGCTCCGGGCTCGAGGGCGTTAAGTCCCTAAGCCCTGAAGCCCCCACCCCACCCGCCCCCTCCCCCGGACCATACCATTGGGGGGGGGGGGAGGGGGCCGGACACGCCTGACCATATTTAGGTGCGTAGTTGCTTTCTCGTGCTTTCGGAAACCAGACAGGAGTCGAATGTTTGCAGATTGTCAAACGCAGAGTCTTGTTGGCACGTTACGAAGCGGCGACAGTTTCTGGGGGCCTTTCATTCCTCCGACCCTTTCACCCTACCAGAGTGCCTCCACCAGAATTTGTTCGTGCAGTGCGACCAGAAGCTGATGCTCGGAGGCACAGCGGTGGAGGTTTGTGGGCTTTGCAAGTACGCAAAGGTGGATGCGGACGGGAACTACGCAGTGTTGCCTCAGCCCCTTCAGTCCGCTGCTCCCCTTCAGTCCGCTGCTCCGGTGGTCTTGAGAGAGTACATGAACACCGGAGCAGAAGTCGTGAGGCACCGTAGAGTTTATGTGGAGGAATCACACCATAGCCAAAAGCGCGCATTGTCGCAGTGATTTGTGATCACATGTCGTCAGGCTTCGTGCGATGGCCGCAAACCCGGCAGACACTGAAGTCTTTGCGGACCGAGACACGGTGTTCACTAATCTCGGAAGCTACGGCGAGGATTGCTTCTACATCCGCGGCCGCAACGATGCAAAGGGCATGAGTGCCCAAGATGTGCAGTGGCGCATCAGAGCTCCGTGGCCTTCGACAGTCTACCTTGACATGTGGGCCGGTCAGGACAGCATGGGCTTCAAAAACTGGAAGGATAGACCGCTCTGGGAACAGGCAAGCGAGACCGGAGTCACGTTTGATCACAGTACTTCCTCATCAAAGGTCTTCACGCGCAACTTCTCAGTTGCAGACGACATCGAGCTTTATGGCAACGGTGCCAGCGATGGTACAGGGACCTACCTTGTTTTCGTTTGCCCCCGCTATATTAGTGATGAGACGAAGTTGCCCAGCTTGGCATCAGACCAGGTGCTCGGAGTTGTTGGGGTCCATTCACAAGCTGTTTTATCACTTCTTTTGATGAATGGCCCTAAGCCCGCAAGCAATGCTCAGCACCCAAAGCCATGAACGAAGGTGCTTGGGGAAGTTGATGCTGGCTCCGGCCAGTCCACTGCTCGGTGCCCCACAGGCTCCTACGTGGTGGCCTGCACAACTTTCCCAGAGCAAGAAGGCTCATCCAGCCCCAACGGGGTGGGTCTATTAGTGTGTAGACCGTTTTTTCGGCTTAGGATGAACCGTTAACCACAGGCTGGAAGCTTCTGCCAACATCCAGCACATGTCAAGTTCACTTTGCCGGCAATGCAGTGGCGGCCATCGCAACCTGTTCCTACACAGGTGCCCTGGTCAGCGGTTTACCCTTTAAACTTTAAACTCGACCCTTCTGGAGGGCTAGCTTAAGGCTAAAAGCCTCCGACTGGCCGGAGTCTCAGGCAAGACCTTGGTCACTGGTGCCTTTCATCCAGGGGGGCAGACACCTTCGGTGCTTTGTTCTGAAGGTGAGCCTGTCGCTTGCACGTGCGAGGACTGAATCCGACACTGCACGTCCCTGCATGGTACGTGTATCGAAGAATTAGGTGTGATTCATTCCGAAGCACTCGAATGGCAATAAGCGCATATAAGTGCCAGGAAAGTGTGGCGGGTACTGAGTTGAAGGTCTGTCGTGGAGAAGTTTACTTTGAGCCCACGAACTCAGCTTGCACGAAGCCCTTGGGAATCTCATCTTCGACGTCGGCGAGGATCTGGGCAATATGCCAGGACTGGGCTCGGGGAACCTGAGGGGCAATTTGGGCCGTCGTTACGTGATTTGAAGGGGCAGTTTAGTGAATGGCATCCTGTGGTTCTGATTGTGGTGGAAACAGGCTTGTATGCTAGATGCGGAAATGATGGCCGTCGCAAGGCGACAAGCTTCGAAATCCCAAGACACGACCTGCAGATAACCAGAAAACAGAAGTCTTTTGCATATACCTCGCCGAAGCCAATCTGGATTCCTGTCGACCAATAGGCACCCCCCACGACTTCAGCCGCAAAGACGGCGGTGGCTTCCGAGTTCAACCACGGTGCAGCATTGGACGTGAGCTGCTGGTGGCTGGCTTTGTAAAGGGACTTGCGTTGAGAGCTCTGAAATTCCCCAAGCAGTGCGCAAACACTAGGGGTTCTTTCGTTCAGAGTAAATGAGACTTCGTGTCTCACTCCGAGGCCTATAGAGTCCAGATATTTAGTAAATCTTCGGCTCTGAGAGTTGTGATTTCGGAAGCTGTGGCCTCGAAAGAGTTGTAAGAGATTTGTGAGAAGGCCTCGTGGTGCAGCATGCTGCTCGGTGAATTGTAAAAGGAAGCTGTAGTTTCCTACCCAAACCTGGCTCCACAGGAAAAGGTTCGGGCGGTTAGTGAGTCTTAGGGAGTTAGATTGAGATGTACATGGGATGCCCACGAAAGTGCGCGCGAAACGCCCGTGGTGCGCGGATGTTTTTCCTCGGGCGCTTGTCGCATTTTGGACGAAAACCGTACCTTTCAGCGCGGGTGGTGATGCCGGGCCTTGTAGACCTCGCAAATTACATGCTTTCGGCTTCGCAGATGGTGTCGAATCGCGCTCTCGCCTAGGCCCCGTGCGCATGGTGTGGTGTTTCCGTGTGGAATCGTGCTCTTCGCCTAGGTTTCGTGCACTTTTTGAGGCCTGCGTCGCTCTGCATCCTGAAAACGTGGCAGGCGCGTGGATTCCTCCGTATTGGGCAGTTGGATGGGTTCGCTGCGTGCGGCCAGATTAAGGGGATCTGCAATTCGCGATGTTGGAAATCGCGCTGGTCGCCTAGTAATCGCTTTGGGTCTGGGATCGCCAAATGCGAAACTGTCGCCGCTTTTTCGCATCTTTGCATCTCGGGATGTTGGAAACCGTGCTCCCGTCGAGGCGCCGTGCGCATCAACGTCGCCATCCTCATCCATCCTCGCGGCTGTCGTCGATGTTGGACGTATGCGAAATTTTCGTCGCTACAGGTGTTTTCGGAAGACATCCGGAGCTCCAGGGGCTCGAGAGTCGACCCTTGTAGTACAATGTTAGTACACGGAGGACGTCTGAGCTCCAGTGGCTCGAAGTGGGCTTTGTAGTGCAAAGGTAGTGCGTGGAGGACGTCTGGAGCTCCAGCGGCTTGAAAGTCTACAAACGTAGTACACAGAGGACGTCTGGAACACCAGTGGCTCCAAGTCACACTTTCGTGTCCCCATCATAGTCCTTGAAGTGTTCTTGGTGAGCTCTTGGGATGCTTTTGGAGTTCTCTTGAGGGATGTTCTTGGAATGCTTGGAGAGCTCCTGGTGTATGTTTGGAGGACGCTTGGACTGTTTGGGGTTTACGCTGGCGCAGTTCCCTTCCCCCCCCCCCCCCCCCCACATCGGTGTGGTGTTGTGAGATTTTAAGTCGAGCATGCTCTTCGCCCCTCCTCGCCCGGTGTCCAGCCCGGTCTCCGCGACCCCCACACAAGCCTTGAGAGAACCCCGAACATGCTTGAACTCAGCTCAGAGATTTCCGCTGCGACGAAGTATCCGTAATTACTTGTCCGGAAACGGCAGGATGGCTCCCGCATCAGGTAGTGCAGGGTGGGGATGATCATTTGTTTTTACGGTGTGTCCTTGGCCGACAAGCTGGGCAGGATTGTTGTTTGAAAGCTTTGTCAGACATTGGCAAAGTTTTGTGAGACCACTCCTTGTTCGCGAACATCTGCAAAGGTTGGGAACATCTGAGTTCGCTCTTCTCGAATGCAAATGAATCCTTCGGCGAACTTTGCAAACATGAGGTTCCGAAGTTGTGACGCCCATGAACTGTTTGCCAAATTACGAGCCTGCGACGACACGAGCGCCCGCAGCGTTTCTTTGAGCTTGTACTTATCTGCCAAGTTTGGAAAGTCTTAGGCAAACATCTTACATCCTTGCGAAAGAGACAAGGCATTTGTGTGAGAAACTACCCAAGTTGTTGACAAATGTTCGTTATTGCCGTGGTGTTTGCTACTGTTGCAGAGCTTCTGCAGCAGCTGTACAGACTTGGCGATCACTCTTCTTTGTTCCCAAGACCAGCAAGTGCTTGCGAACAGCATGAGCGTTATTGCGAGAAGGTAATATTTGCCAAACGCCTCGCTTGCTGCAAGACCTTGTGAGTGCGTTTGGTGGTGAGTGCGAATTTCTTGGAAAACGTTGGAGTTTTCGATGATAATCAGGGTTCCATGAAGTTCAAGCCTGGGCTATGTATAATATGTATATATATATATATAAGTTGAGGATGTAGGAGGGCTGTGACCCATCGAAAACAAGGACGGAGCGTTACACCTCCTTTGATATCAAGAGGCAGATCCGCTGCGTGGCCGGGCACTGGCTAAACAATGCGGGCACGCGAGGCCTCGCCAATTTCGAATGTTTATCTGGCATCCAAATCGTTCCATCAGCCTACACGGTGCCTCGACTACGCGCTTAACCCTCAAGACCCAACCCCTTGTCTCGGGCGAGACTCCTTGCGTGCTGAGGTGACTGGAGACCAGGGCAACCAAGAGCTCTTCTTTGCTGGGAGATGGAAGCTTCAAGCTTTTCTGAAGCTTGATGCCGATGAGTACTCAATTGAACCATGCTTTTACCCGGAGGTTTTTGGTGCTCTGCGGCGCTTCCGGAGCTGCGATGAGCAGAGCCAGTGCCTTGAGACAAACGAGAACTCTGTCCTCAGCATGCAGCCTTGTAGCACCATGTCGGCCGGACAGTTTCTTGACGGAAGCCAGCTGAATGAGCTGTTGGCAAAAAGTTATGCGGAGAATTACCAGGACTTGAAGCTCAAGATAGGGAAGCAATTGCACTCCGCGGGCAGCAAGTTCACTTTTTTCGACCTGGAAGTTGACACGGCGTGCCCTGCTCCATGAACATGAAGAAGTGTTGTGATATTAAATTCGTGGGATGTCAAAAGAATTGATTGCGCCAGGATTGGGTATGTGATTCGTGTGAAAAACGTACAACCCTGAACCCTGGGCCTTAGCGAAGGGTTCAGGATTCGTTTGCGCCAGCGGGCTCAGCCACTGAGCTGAAGTTGCAGATTCTGTTTCGCGACGACCCCTACATTCCTTTTGGCCCTTTTTTAAAATGGAATTGAAGTTTTGCCTATTGGTTTTAGCCGTTTTTGAAAACACGTGTATGGATTACTTAGGTTTTTGTCTGGGTGATGCAAAAACTATGAGTTTTTGCATGACAAACGCGCCGCGTTTTCTGAACTCGTGTTGTTGTTTGTCGCAGGCCTGCCAGGGTTTGGTGCAAAATGTGCGTTTGCGCGCGAACCCCTAGTTTCATTTTTCCCGAAAGCTTCCCCCTAATATTAAACGGGGGGGCCCCTCTCCCCCCCCCTTTAAAACTCGAAATGTGTTTTCTTACTAGGGGGAGGTTCTTATCGAAATGTTATATTTAACCCTAAGCCCTAAACCCTAAACCCTTAACCTAGACCCCAAACCCGAAACCCTCTGAGGGTCTTATTGGTGTTGAGGGTTTTTTGGAGGCCTGACCCCCCCGCCCCCCTAATTCAAAATGGGTCTTAAATAGATTTTTTGATTTGGGTTTTTTTTCCGGAAGGTGTTTTCATTATTAGGGTGGTCTTTAGTACAAGGGGGAAGGGATGACCACCACCACACTTCCATCACTACACTACCACCACCACACTACCATCACACTACCACCACCACACTACCATCACCGCGCTACCATCACCACACTACCATCACCGCAGTACCATCTCAGCTGCATCACTACCATTACCATCGCCGCACACTACCATCACCACAGTACCATCTCAGCTGTGTCGCTTCTGTACGCTGTCTATGAAATTCTCTCTTGTTTCTTAGGCCGGGGTGGGTTTCGCCGCGTCTAGCGCGATGCACCCCTCTGCGGGGATCGTGCGTGTCGGAGCGCTTCCGCTGTGCGTTTTTGCGTATTCTTGAGTGGCCTGTCGCACCCTCTGCGGGGATCGTGCGTGTCGGAGCGCTCCCGCTGTGCGTTTTCGCGCATTTTGGATCTTACGTGTGCACCCTCTGCGGAGATCGTGCGTGTCGGAGCGCTCCCGCTGTGCGTTTTCGCACATTTTGAATCTTGCGCGCGCACCCTCTGCGGGGATGGTGCGTGTCGGAGCGCTCCCGCTGTGCGTTTCGCATATTTTGGATCTTACGCGTGCGCCCTCTGCGGGGATCGTGCGTGTCGGAAAGTCGACTTTTGTAGTACAAATGTAGTGCGCCGGGGACGCCCGGAGCTTCCGTGGAAACTTGGCAAACTGCATGGAAGCGGAATTCCGCATGCTTGAAAACCTCGCAAATAGCATGGAAGCATGCAGAATTCCGGCATGATCGAAAACCTCGCAAATAATAACATGGAAGCGAAATTCCGCATGCTTGAAAACCTCGCAAATAGCATGGAAGCGGAATTCCGGCATGATCGAACACCTCGCGAATCACATGGAAGCGGAATTCCGCATGCTTGAAAACCTCGCAAATAGCATGGAAGCGGAATTCCGCGTGCTTGAAAACTTTGCAAATATCGCGGAAGCGGAATTCCGCATGCTTGAAAACCTCGCCGTCACCACGGTAATCACTGCGCTACCGCCGCCACACTACCACCGCCGCACTACCATCACCACACTACCGCCGTCGCACTACCGCCGCCGCACTACCACCGCCGCACTACCGCCGCCACACCACCGTCACTACACTACCGCCACCACACTACCATCGCTACACTACCGCCACCACACTACCGCCGTCGCACTACCACCGCCGCGCTACTGCCGCCGCACTACCACCGCCGCGCCACACTACCGCCGCCACACTACCATGACTACACTACCACCACCACACTACAATCACTACACTACCGCCGCCGCGCTCCACCATCACACTACCGCCGCCGCACTACCGCCGCCGCATTACCACCACCACACTACCACCGCCGCACTACCGCCGCCGCACTGCGCCCAAGCACACCAGCCTACCGCCGCCGCACTACCATCACCGCGGGAGTCACTACCGCCGCCGCCACTACCGCCGCCGTACTACCATCACTACACTACCGCCGCCACACTACCGTCACTACACTACCACCGCCGCACTACCACCATCGCACTACCGCCGCCGCGTTACCGCCACACTACCACCACCGCACTACCGCCGCCGCGCTACCACCTCCACACTACCGCCGCCACACTACCATCACCGCAACCATCGCCTCGTTGCTCCCCCTCTCTCTGCCATCGACACCGCGTTGACGCTACACTACCGATCTACTTCTAGCCTACTACACCACACCGCGGCGCCACGATCACCGCGCTGACAACACATGCAACCAACTATACGTGTCAGTTGATATCTTCGCTCTGATTGCTCGGCCTGTTCACGGCTTTTGGGTAGCTGGGGCTAAGTTTCCGCCTCTTTCGGTTCAATTTCGGAGCTTTGTCGATCGCGCCTCATTTGCTGCCTTCCGTTGCTCAAGACCGACGCCATTGTTTTTGGTTGTTCCAGTGCCGCGTTGCAAGGACACACGCGTTGTCGGCGCTGAATTCTAGCTAAGGCGCTCTGCGCCACAGTCGGAGCCTCCGTCTGAAGTTGTTAGGGCTCTGGGCAAAAGCTCTTGCTAGCCTTGCCAACGTCGTTTTTGGCGTCAGATCTCCGGCCGAACGTGTCGTTCTTCTGTCACTGTCCACAAGAATACAGATCTGCTAGGCAGGGCAATAGGAGGCGACGAGTCCGACTCTGACGAGAGCGTTGTTGCTACATCGCCGAGGAGGCGGCGCGGCTGCACGGAGCAGATCACCTTTGCCTGGGCCTAGCGCCGCTCCTTTCATTTCTGAGTCTAGCAGCAGCAGCCGCATTGCAGGCGCTGGTGGGTTAATTGGCGTAATAAGCCCCATTAGTTCGGTTGCTGATTCCCTGCCCTCCGGTAGGTCGCTGCCGCCCGAGCCCCCAGGACACTGCTTCTGTCGTTCAGCGCATCGAGGCTAATCTTGGCAGTACATTGGAGCTCGCTATCGACCCAATTGCTCCCTTTGGACTATCATCAGGTGCTAGACCGTGATTACAACTCGAGCGTCGCTCTCTTCAGAAGGCTCCAAGCTTTGCCGCAGGTGGCCGTCATCATCTTGAGTAAGTGCAGTGCCGACAGTCTGACTACCCAAGCTGGTGATTTTATCCTGGCGGAGTCCGAAGATTCTGTTCGCAACGTGCCTGCGTACTATATTACAGGCGCAAACTTAAGAGTGGCAACGGACCTCCTTGGCGTTTTCTTCCGTCCTCCACGTGGACGATAAATCCTTCATCGCAAAGCGACGATCAAAGTCCTTTGCGATGAAGGATTTATCGTCCACGTGGAGGACGGAAGAAAACGCCAAGGAGGTCCGTTGCCACTCTTAAGTTTGCGTGTAAAAAGAAAAGTGCAAGTGGCAAGTGCAGGAATGTTTCGGCAACCTGCCAAGACTTCGGTTCAGTGCCCAGGGCTATTGACAAACCGCCAAACCCCGTAGGAATGCAGTCTAGTTCGGGACGGAGTTCGCTCCGTGTAACTTCGTCTAGCAGCGGGGCCAGAACGATCCGAGCGCTACCAGGTAGGGCGCAGTCAACGTCCCGAAGTAGCAGCAGCTCCTCAAGGGTCCCCAACTTAAGCAACCTGAATCCCCGATTCAAGATGCGGGCCCTGGAACCGGCAGCCTCATCCCAGTCAACCCCCCGCCGAACGCCGCCTGCAGCCTCAGGAGTGTCCTCGTCCAGTGCAGCGGTCGACATCCCTGTCGACAGTGGCCCGCAGGGTTTGGGATTCGTAGGCGATGACAGTTCAGGGGCAAGGTTGTACCAACGCAACAACTTGTGTCAGCAGCAGGTTAATATAGGACTTGATCCCCAAGAGGTTTTGACGCAGGCCAGGGAATTCGAGACTTCGGTGTATAGTCAAGCGCAGGCTATGGTTCAAGAGGCGCAAAGCCAAGCAAGGGATGAAGCGAGATATTTTGGTGCGCGTGTCGTAGGCCAAGCCCAGCAAGCGGTTCTCGAAGCCCAAGCAGTAGCTAAAGCAGCCGCAAGTGCAGCAGTTTAGCAGGCTCGGGCGGAGTTGAGGGCAGAGGTTCAGCAGAGAGAACTAGCCTTCCAGCAGAGAGAGAATGAGCTTCAAGCCCAAGTCCGCGTGTTGCAGAACGAGGTCACGACGTTGAGGCATCAAAGCGCTCAGCCATCCCCAATAACCCAAGTCCATAATGGCGCGGAACTTATCAATAGTGCTCAGCTCTTTTTCCACCATAGCCGAATTGTGTGCTGACGTCCAGGATTGGAGAGGTTCAGTCAGCCCGGTGCATCCCAGAATTCCTGTGCATCGCGGTGCCGGCACCCCGCCGCCCGCTGACACACGTTCTGGCTCACTAAGTCATCGCCTCATTCCTCCAGTCAGAGCCTCCACACCTGCCAGAAGGTAGTAGCAGATTCGGCATTTTGCCAACTGCTGCCCAGGCGCCAGGCTCACGTAGGCCTTCACAGCATCCTCCTGTTGCTATTGCAGCACCCATCAGGCCAAACCCTTCACCACATGGCTCGCGTGACAGGTTTGATCCACCACCTCATGACAGCGACTCGTCCGATTCAGAATCTTTTCACGGTCGAGGCGGTCCCCTGGCCCTCCTTCCGGTCACAGTCTGCGCGGGAGCCAGGCAAGCCGTTACAGGATACGCAGCCGTGGTGTAGGGTCAGCCAGTCTGCTTACAGAAGATGAGGTGAATAAGCGTAAGGATCTATCGTTGGTTTAGATTGACGCTGCCGCGCGATGCAGCCCAGTTCCGATCCTGGATGAGCGCATTCGTAACCAAGATCTGTGCTATCGACAGGTTCAGACACGTTGTTGAAGTGGCTGCTGCCAGCTTTCGAGACTCAAGGCGCCGCGCTTGCTGATCCTGAGGGTTTGCCCCGTTTTGACGCACGCCTTGCGTCTCTCTTGGCCGACCCAAAACACCTGAGCAACGAACTTGGTATGCAGCTTCAGGCCTACATTGAAGGTTGTCAATTGCAATACACCGCACCAAGGGGCAGAGTCCTGCGGAATATGGTGTCGCAGAGGTTCTTCCTTGACCAGCGTAGGGGTGCAAACCTGACAGAGCAGGCATTGTTGGGGTTGCAGATCGACGCGTTCACGTACCAGTCGTTGCTTGCATTTGCCAACCGTGCCGAGTACATCTTGAACTCCATTCCACATGAGCACCAACCTTCCGAGCAGACCAAATTCACTTGGCTTTTCGGTCGGCTGAAGAAGTGTCGTTTGTTGCAAAGGCACATCGACCGCGTCAAAGATGCAAGGGAAGGTTCGCGTGTCAGGACATGGGATTGGTTGTTTTCGAAGCTCAAAACGTTGTTAGCCGAGTTGAGGGAAGATGCGAACGAGACTGCCATCAAAGATGCACTCAGTCCCTCCCACAACGGCAACCAAGAGCAGAATCGCAAGACAAAGGGGCAGAAGGAAAAGGAGAAGCGGAACCGTGCCGAGGGTCCCATCCACAACCCAATGACCAACAACCCGCGTTGCCCGCAAAGTCAAAGGGCAAAGGTCCGGGTGGCAACAACAATAGCGGTTCCCAAGCCCCAAAGGGAAAGGTAAAGGGAAAGGAAGCAAGGGTAAGGATGGTGACAAGAGTGCCAAACGCGCTCCCGCAAAACCACCACCGCCGAACCCAAAGCAGACCCCGTCGGAAGGTAGTCCGTTTGCCCACGATGCTCCGAAGTCAAAGGCTCAAGGTGCTGCCGCAAAAGCAACTGTTGCGGCGACTGTTGCCGCTGTGCTCCCAACTCCTGTTGCGGCGGTCATGTTTCCGCTCCGCGTAGCCAGACTTGCAAAGCATCTGCTTGGCTGGGTTCCATCTTTGGCAAAGTCCTTAGTTGGTTTGTTGGTTGGTCTGTGATTGCTGCGCCTGCAGCCATTCCTTCTGTTGATACTGCGTTGCCCGGCCCTCACAACTTGAGTGGATCGCTGATTCCGGGGCGGGTCGCGACTTGACATCCAGCCAAAGCATTGACGCAGCAAGGGATTCGTCGCTTCACAACTTCCAGTCCTAATCATCGGCTCGAGCTTTGGTGAGTTGGAGACCGGACATATCCTTCATTATCGCTAGGCTCGCTTCGAAGGTGAGTAGGTGGGATAAGTTTGACGACCGTCAATTGCTTCACTGCGTATCCTACTTGCATCACAGCAGTCATGTGACATTGAAAGGTTCGGTTTCTCAGACAGAGCTGGACTGCCAGCTTGAAGTGTTCACTGACAGTGACTTTGCGAGTTGTCCGTTGTCTGGTAAAAGCACCACGGGCACATTGGTGACGGTACGAACTGGCGATTGCGTGTTTCCGCTCAACTGGGTGTCGCGCAAACCATCCTCCACAGCACGCTCAACCACGGAGGCAGAGACTATTTGCCCTCGCGACCGCTATGTTTTCGGAAGATCCCCGCCCCCTTAACCCTTGAAATTTTTTTTTTTGGGGGGGGGGGGTGAGGCCTTGAAATATTTCAGGCGGTTAGCTGGACGCCGAGGCATGATAAACCTGGGGGTGGGTGTAACAGGCTGAAATTTCAACATTCGGGGGGTAAGCGGTTGAAAATAATTTCAGAATGGAGTTCTAGACCACAACCTTCAGGGAAGGCAGACAAACCATTAAAACAGACACACCGAAACAAACAACAACCCACGAAGCACATAAGTACACATAAATACCACCTCTAGAGATTGTTGGAGGTTCTGGGGCAGTTGCTGCCTGGGCAGGCCGTCCCGGTACTACGTCCCCAGGGCGTTTTTTTTTTAAGCTAGCTAGGCAGAGAAGGTGACAGACGACAGACTCAGAGAGAGAGAGAGAGAGAGAGAGAGAGAGAGAGAGAGAGAGAGAGAGAGAGAGAGAGAGAGAGAGAGAGAGAGAGAGAGAGAGAGAGAGAGAGAGAGAGAGAAAGAGAAAGAGAAAGAGAAAGAGAAAGAGAAAGAGAAAGAGAAAGAGAAAGAGAAAGAGAAAGAGAAAGAGAAAGAGAAAGAGAAAGAGAAAGAGAAAGAGAGAAAAAGAAGGAAAGAAAGGGACAAAAAAACAGAATACAGAAAGAGAAAAACGCGGTGCAACGACGGCGCTGCTGTCGAGAAGGCCGGGTATTCTCAGTTCCAAAACAAGGTGCAATGTATTGAGTAGTCCCCGGACCCCTTGGGGAAGCTTTGAGCTGGTTAGCTGTGGAATCCTGAGGTGGCTTTGCACGCCATTGCCGGCTTCTACATCATTCGCCTGGGCGCGAAGAGAGTGAGAGCGAGAGCAAAGCGAGTGAGAGTGAGAGCGAGAGCGGGAAAGTGAGAGTGAGAGTGAGAGCGAGAGTGAGAATGGGAGTGAGAGAGCGCGAGCGAGAAAGTGAGAGTGAGAGTGAGAATGGGAGTGAGAAAGAGTGAGAGTGAAAGTGAGAATGGGAGTGAGTGAGAGTGAGAGTGAGAGTGAGAGTGAGAGTGAGAGTGAGAGTGAGAGTGAGAGTGAGAGTGAGAGGGAGAGCCGGGGACGTGGTGCCATCGGGACAGGCCATTGTTCGACCTACCTACCTCCCCTTCAAAACCCCTGGCTGAAATTTCAAAGACCTTGGGGGCCCCCCAGGCAACAGCAAAATCCTGAAATTTTTTCATGCTGGCGACAAGGGGGGGGGGGTTACCCCCGGGTGGGGATTTCGGAAGTGGAGAATCTCCAGGGATACCTCTCCGAGATGCTGGGTTGCGTTGCTCCCGTGTTCTACCGTTCTACCGTCAAGGCAACAGCACGGTGATCTCACATGCCCAGAGGTCACCGGGTTAATGTGGCATCCATCAGCGAAAGGCTCGCTGAGCCCAACGTCCAAGTGACTTCTTGCCCCACCAAAGAACAAAGGGCAAACGGCTTCACAAAAGTGATCAGTCCGCAAGAATGGCCGGCAATGCTTGCTGCTTGAACAACTGTGTCTGTCTGACAGCGGAGCAAGCGCTACAGTTCCCGCGACACTATCCCAACAGGTCGTGTTGGATCCCCTCATAGGATCTGAGCCTGAGTCTGTTGCCGGCATCCTGCCGCACAGACTTGCGGAACGCCATATCCTTCAGCTGTTCCACCTGCTTCCCCACGACGAATCGTCAAGAGCTGTCGCACTCACAGAGGGTCGCAGCTTCACCACAGGTGCGCATGCACATGGAGGTGGGATAGTTGGGTTGAGACGTAACACTTCCAAGACCAGGGGGGTTACGGGGTTTGTCCGTCAGCAGAACTAACGGTTGACTTTCACCGCCGTCGTTGCCATTTAATTACCAAGACATACAGTTTGGCATCCACCCTGACAAGATCAATGACAGGGAATCCTATAATCTTGTGATTCCGCTCACGAGGTTTACAGGAGGTCAGATATGGGTAGAGGATGCTGAGGGGCAGGTTCAGCGTCCTGATGCTTCCTGCAATCTTGCAGGGACTATCCATGAGCTCCCTGCGTTGTTTCGGCCTACTAGCAAGCATTGTTCAGGCCGTGGCAAGGTGAGACATCTTCGCGTGTTGTGCTGATTGCTTTCACCCCACGTGGATCTCAGGATCTGTCATTAAGCGATGCTCAATTGCTCGTCGAGTTAGGTTTCCGAGTGCCTGCCAACACCAATGCCTTCATAGCCGCATAGCCTAGAAAAAGTGTTAGCTTCCACACAGAAGACACCGGAGAGCAAGATGTGATGATTCTCCTCTTGTCCCGATGAGGGGGGAGTTGAGAAATCACGATGCTCAGCACCATGTAGCACCAGTTGTAGTGGCACGATTACGATATCGACTCCAGCATTTGGCTCAAGGTAAAAAAGTGAGTGTTGCAGTGCTTGCTTGTACCTACTTCGTAACGCACATAGTTTTGTGTGTTTCAACTTGTTATGTTGGTTTCAGTTGGCGCTGCAGGGATGCTCTCTGGGATCCTTTGTGGGGACAGGGCGTGCTGCTCGGTCAGTCCGGATGTGGTGCGGGATTTTCGGCGAGATTTTCTGGGTGGATTCTCGGCAGGATCCACTGAGATTCTCCGCGGTGATTTCTGCCGTGGGGATTCCTGTGCCGGAAGCAGGAGCTGCGGCCACAAGGAGACCCAGACCAGAAACGCCAGAACCGCCATCCCTCAACCAGGAACATGTGACCGAAACCTGAATCTGAGCCACGCAAGCCGAGTGGGCGTACCTCACACATACCGTCCTGGCTACTTTATGTCTAGGTGAAGTGCATATGGCGCAACTAAATGTTAATTGTCGATAATGACTAGAGTCCCTGCACTAGCTTTCGTCCCCGGCCTTCACCCCCAACTTGAGCCCAGGTGTGGCCGACATCAAGCGCTACGGATGTTTAGCTTTGGTCAGCCTGACCCCAAAGACGACGACAGCCAGATTCTGGGAACATCAGCACAGTGCAGCATGGCGAACGTGGTCGAGTCTTCCAGGATCAGAACCCACACGCGGCAACTCAAGGTTGTCTACTCGGGGCGAAACGAGTAGGCTATGATGTATATAGTAATCATTCCCCATTTGCGGCGACAAAAATGACATCGATATCAGAGAGTTTATGGACAATCTCCTTGACAACAATGTTTAGGGGCTTCGGCGTGGACCTAGGGAACGGATAGATGTGAAGGATTCGCAGCAGGAAGAGAAGTCAAGGGTGGACATTTCAGGTTAGAGCGGCTCACAACCAAAGAATTCTTGCGGCTTTCATGCTGCTGGAAGCAGGGAATGGAATCCGCGCCACAGTTGAGGGGTCGGTAGACTCTGAGTTGCACGCTCTTTTGAGTGCTTGTCCAGATGCAGGTGTCCATCGAGAATGCAGCTTTCAAGACCTGCCTACAGTACGCTCCTTGCGACTTGGTTCCCAGCGAGTTTTGCCTCGCCAGGGCCTTGGGGACTTGTGACGGATCAGAGGAGCAAATGTTCTTTTGGAATGAAGCCAACTTCGCCTTCCCATATTCAGGTAGGTGGCTTCCGGCACTGTATACCGATGAGTCCATGGCTAAGCAGATACATCTAGGGCAGATACGATTTGCCCCCCAGCTTGAGGGGGATATAGCTGAGAAAATCGAAGTCCAGTCGAATCCGGAGAACATGTTGATAGTGAGCTGGAACCCCGCTACTTTGTACTTTTTCATTGTGGCGCAAGACGCTCACTCATTGGCCTCATTCCAGATTCAATGGACTGGTAGCACACCGGACAAGGAGTACAATGAGCTGAATTATCGGTGGCACATAGGGTCAGGTGCCAGTCTTGCTGAGATGAGAGTTGATTGTCCTGCTGGTGAGGCAATCACCAGCTTGAGCACATTCCGCATGAACGTATCCTGGACGTGTGCACCAGTAATTGGACTTGGAGGATGCACCGACATTCAGACGGAGAAGCAGCAGTACAACGCCAATTTGAAACTGGATAAATTTCGGCCCGCCCTTTCGCTAGTATAACCCTCTCAGATACCAAGCCCCTCTAAGCACCGAGCGCACCTCAGGCAATTCCTCAGACTGCTCAAGCTTGATTGCGGCGAGGGGCAAGTTATGCAGACTATGAGAGCTGAGCTGGGATCGTCATCGAAGAGTTTGCGGCTGATTGGCAAGTGCTGCACCATGGCACAGCCGCCGGTGGCTCTCAGGCCTTTCAGTGGCTTCATGGGCTCGGTTCCGGATGTCTCCGGCATATACTCCACCGAAGCTGTTGATGACTCCGGACGCCCGGAGTTTAAGCAATTGTTCAGCTTCAACCCCGATCTCCCATCCCCGTCCAGCACTCTGAGCTACGACAAGCATGCCGGCAAGTGGTGCATCAAGCACGGGAGTTCCACCTCGTGTTCCGGTCAAAGCAGCGCAGTACACCCGCTCGATCTTGGAAACCAGGTGGGTATGGGCCAAAATTTACAATGGTTTGGGTTTGGGGCTTAGGGCAGTTTAAGGCCAACCCTCCTGGCGCCTTATCTTCCGACACTGCCAAGGTCTTGGGTGATGACTTGCGTGTGACACAGGTATCCGACTTTGCCTCTCTATTCGAAGGCCTGGGCTCCGGGATGAAGCCAGCAGGGCCCCCGAAACCACCCAAGCTGGTATCTCTCAAGGCCGAAGAGCCGGAGTACGCAGAGATTTGCAAGGACAAGTATCTAGATTGTTGAGTTGGAATATGTTGCAATATGTCACATGTTCATGAAGACTGAGCCTGACACTCCGCAAGATTTGCAAAGTTGGAACGTCTTCCAAGGTATGTGCCCGGATTGGCCGGTTTTGACCAAGAGGGGATGCACAACGAAGCAAAGGCGCTGAACGACGAGCACCCGTGCTTCAGCATATGGAGTGAGCCGAGGAAGGACATCTTCGATTCAGCCGAGGGCATGTCCTGGTGGAACCGCTTTGACGGAGATGCTGCAGACATTGTTCAAGATGTCACCTACAAATCTGTGCAAGAATGCGCCCAACGAGAAGTTGCAGCGGAGTCCAGGCGAGGCAACACGGGACAATCCAGGCATCGGCGAAAAGCACTTAGTCTCAAAAGCCCATCCCTGCAGGCAGAGCCAAGAGATTTCAACCATGGAGCTGGTTCAAGCACTGGGCGACGGCGTCACTGATCTTTCTGGGCTGGTCTCCGATGCAGCCATCCCTGATTTCTCTCTTACTCCTTGGGGTCCACACATCGAAGTGTCACCGGGCCGGCTGATTTGGATTTTTTCATAAGTTGAGAAGTATCGCCCAACAAGACTCATTCCTTGTGGAGTCTCCAAATCTGGCACAGGTCAAAGGTTCCCGGTTCTGTCGCTGAGGGAATCAATTTCTTTGCTAACACGTTGGGCCTTGGCCTCTTGAAGCAGCAGCTGGAGAACGGATACAGAATTGGAAACGAGAACGACTGCTCCTCTTTGTCGCACGGATTGGCTCGCATGTTCTGTGATCTGTTCTGCGTTCGAGATGCTGTGAAGAAAGGGGATGCCGCGATCTTGAAGACCTTGGTACAGGCCATTCAAGCCTAAACGCCGCCTCAGACCCTTAGGCTCGAACATGTCAACTCCAAGCTCGGCCCTGACCCCCACAACCTTCTAAACATCTCTAAGCGCAGCACTGCTAGAGGCGGTCAGCACCATCAATGCGAACCTCAAGGCGCTCTTTGAGTTCTACTTCCCGGCAGATGCATGGCATGGGTTTTGGACTTCGGAATTTTGCAGGAAAGGTGCAGGTTGGATCATTTCAGCTCAAAAGGGGCCGCATCGTCCCACTCCAGCCCAGGATGCAGGCAATGCAGGCGCAAGCTTGATGGAAGATCAGAATTTGATCGTGGATGGCATGGCAAGGACCTCTTATGGATCCTGAACCCTAATCTCCTCAACTTTTCACATTTCCATTTGGGCTTTAAGCCCCAAAAAAAGCCCTAACCGAACAGCATCAGGAGCTTTGTCGAGATGAAGAGCATGGCTTCCGAGAAGTTGCACCCCGCAGCCGGCGCAGCAACGAGCCGAAGTCTCAGTGCTTTCGTTGACAAGATGAAGCCGGGGCTTATCTTTTGAGCATTCGGTTTTTTCGATCCGGCGCATAGCGCTTCAGGATGTTCAACAAACTTAATGCTAAGGACAGCTTCAAGAATCAGCCCCGAGCCCTCAA